GGACGGGCGTTTAGAATCGAGTATAAAACAGACATCTTTTTGACATGAGTCGGAACTTTATCGCCACGGTTCGATGGTGAAAGTCAAAGAGCACCAGTGGCGTGGCGTGTTTTGCAATATATCGATTGATCTGTCATTTAAACCTATGGAAAAGGATCGATAAAGAGGGTGTTCGCAACGGACATCTTAATGATCGATTCTTTACCATAGCTTCAAATGGGGAAATATCGATAATCGATCATTCACGCCTAGCCACTGAAGAGTACGAGCCACACTTTGAGACGTTGCTGTACCTAGTTATGGGGGCGAACGTTATTTTTCCAAGAGGAAACTAATAAAAAAATATTTCTTTGAATTTTCTTCTCTGTTTCATCCAACACAGCATATTCTGTGAAATTTCCAAGAAACAACGCTCATCCGCATCGGTTGTGAACATTGTCGGATCCAGCAATTTGGCGACACCGGATTTCCTCCATTCAAACCTATGGAAATGTATCGATTCTCAGAAGGGCCAGGTGCTCCGACAAGAATCGATTATTTAGCATAGGTTTAAATGGAGGAATCCGGTGTTGCCAAATTGCTGGATCCGCCTCTGGTTGTGAATAAAAGGATATATCCGAAAAATATTTAAAGAACTTGCATTATTATTTGACCAGGGGTCGGTTGTCTGAAATCTGAAACATAAATATCGAAGTAACTCCACGTAAAATTGCACGATCCTATATTATAAGAAATTTTGCCACCCTGTCAACAGAGGCAAAGCAGGCGGCAAATTTTTGTCCCCTGCCGGGTGTGTTTAATAATCAACACCAACACGTGTTTCTGCCTCTTTTGAGCTGAATTATAAAGAGAGTTCGGGAGGCGTCTCGACTTTCTTACGACCGGAAACATTCTAAAATAGCATCGTAAAAATAATCAAGGTAGATTTGACAAGACGGCTCGCATATACATATTCAATTCTATATTTACTCGTACCAAAGTTTGGGTTTTTTGAACTGAATCCCGGTTCCAGACAATGTCAAGGCAGAACGAGATCTTTGCTCTCGACTTTTTTGTTCTTCCCTGTCCCTCGAGTTCTCACGTGGGAAAAAACAGCGGTCATTGAATCAAATTGAATACAACGTCGCTCGAAATCTTGCGGATGATTCATCGATATTGGCAAAGTTTTTATTCTTTTGCGGCGTTGGCAGTTCGCAACTTTTTTGGGGGGTTTCATGAGACCATTGAACCTAGAATGAAACGATCTACGTATATTGACACCTAAATGTAGTTACTGTGTCTGAAATTTGATGAATTTCGTGTTTAAGTGAAAACGACAGAGTGGACTGAACAGGATACCCTTGGATCATGAATTCAACAATCATTGGAGAAGAAATGACAAAATTATCTAATCTGCTAAAATACGTTTGTTTGAATGGGAAATGCCGCTAGATGACGTCACTGGGCGGTGAATTTTCTCAATTTTAAATCGATTTTCATACTTTTTCCCATATCAGAAAAAATTATAAAAAATACTGTGAAATCAGCTCTTTGAACACTTTCAGATGAAGCAATAAAAAATTTGCAAAAAATTGCAAACATTTGGAGATGTTGCATGTGTGTGGAATTTCCGATTTGACTGTTAATTCTAATGCAAAAATTCGCGAGAAACGCGATGGTGCCATTGTTTTTTTCTAAAATCAACTCCCAAGCTCAAAAAAAGCTCTCAAGTTGAGGCCAAAATGGAGGGGATATCCCACGCTACCCTGAGAGTCCACCTCTACATCAAGACAAACTCTCCATGCAAATATAGGGAGCAAATACATCAGCAGGGTTGCCGTGTTTTCAGTTTTTGAGTCCCCAAATAAAGTGGCAGCCCTGCCAATGTATTTGCTCCCTATCTTTGCATGAAGAGTTTGTCTTGATGTAGACGTGGACTCTCAGGATAGCGTGGTATGTCCCCTCCATTACGCCCTCAACTTTGAGAGCTTTTTTGAGCTTGGGAGTTGATTTCAGAGAAAACCAGTGGCACCATCGTGTTTCTTGCGAACTTTTACAAAAGTATCAACAGTCAAATTGCAAATTCCTCACACATGCAACATCTCCATTGCTTCGATAGATAGACATGGTTTTGCACTTTGACCAGAGATATGATTAATTTTCAAAAACTCATTTGGTGTCTCCTTCCCTCCCCGCGGCGCGGCGCGGGCGACTTGTCAACGAGGGCGATGGCGGTCTCGTTTCAAGCGTAAATTGGGTCCCGCGTCGACTCATTACTTATCTGCACCGCACTTGGACGTGTTTATGCTAAAAGGAACTATATCACACGCAATCCCTGCGCACATAGTTCCTTTCAGCATAAATACGTCCATTTGGCAAAGTGTTAATGTTTTTGACGGATCCTCCATCGTGCCTCGTTTATAGATATGTTTTGCTCTTAAAAATATTTTTAACCATCGGAAAAGTTTCTCGTCGTCCGCGTTCAAGGGAAGTGTCAAGTCAGTGCCGCACCGCCATCGCGAATTACATTCGTCGTCGAGTAAGTACTCACAAGTTCAACTACCATCTTCATCTCTTTCCTACAGCATCTATATTTGGACGGAGTTAAACAGAGAGGAACCAAGCCACATCAGGATCGAACCGAGAAAAAGAGGTTTAAAGTTTGGCTCCTGCATAAGACTCAATGCAAACGATAAACTTCAAGTTCGATTTCTGCAAAATTTGCTCCAACAAAACTTTGAATTTTTGGCGATGGATAGTAGAGCAGTGGTTGAGTTCAAAACCGCACTCATAATTCAATTTTTTCCAAAATGTGGGTTGGTTCCTTTCTGCTTAACTTAGTCCATTTAAAACTTTTCGGGAGATAAGTTCTTTCTTCGGCGGGCCGATTAGTGAAACTGATGGACAAAGCCATAGACAAAGACGACAAAAGGGATTTGGAGGGATCCTACTGGTGGAAGCGGGTGGTTGCAATGGACGAGGGACGTGGGTAATAGACTAACTAACGACAACCCACCAAAGACCCGACAGTTAGTCCATCATTTCCTCCCTTAGTCTATAAGAACCACTCATTTCAACCAATAGGATCGCTCCAGACTCCCTATGTCTTCTTTGTCTATCGCTTTTTCTCTCAATTCAAATAATCAGCCCGCAGGGAGGCCTAATGTTGATGACCAAAGTGCGAAACCACGTATCTCCGTTCCAGTTTTTAAAAACATTTCGCTCCTATTGTATTTTTTTCAAGAGAAACAAGTCAACTTTATGGCTCCTATGGCTTTATGCAGAATGTTCTTCCAACTGTGAAGAAAATTCAAGGAAATTTTCAAGAAATTACGTCGACTAGCTATTGAGATAACTATGAGAAGATGTCCAATTCACAGATAAAAAGTTTGATTGGAATTTTGTGACCTTACAAAAAGAGATATACGTTTAGATGCATTTATCATTAATGACCCTAACTTCAAGCGACCACCAATGAAAAACCATCCAAATCAATGGATTACATTTTACAATAAGGAGCCACTAACTCTGGCTCCTCTATAAAAACACCTTCATGCATAGGGAAAGCAATGGCATATACGTTGTTTCTGAAATAAGCCGGAAATAATGGTTCCTTTACTGCAAAATGTTGTCCGCAATTATGACCGTCTACGAATTAATTTCAAACGGGACCTTAAATTGCAAAGACTCAAGATTGAGTTATTGATACCGAGCATGGAGAAAGGTTTTACGAACATTGAGGAACAAAAACACTTTAAAATGTCGAACCGAACTGGAGGTAAGGCCGTTTCAAGTGAAGCAGTTAAATAATTTAGTTACAAGAACGAGGTTTGTGGGAAGCTAGAGCCAGCAGAACTGAACTGTAATGCAATGTTTCAAAGTTTCACCTTATACCGATTTTTTTAACATTGACAAGTGTATGCTTCACATCGAAAATTTCGGGAAATTTTTGTTAAGTCATACCAAGAAAGTTAAAAAAAAAAAAAAAAACTAAAAAAACTAAATAGAAAATATGTTATTATTAATGAAAAAAATTAATTATTTGTCAAATGCAACGTTACATTGCAATTAAGCCCCTCTGATTCTCATTTCTTCGATTAATTTGATCTGCCACGTTTAGAATAGAAAATGTCCATGTCACGATGTACCCCAAAGCTGACATCCTCTATCGGCACAAACATGAACCAAAAAGTTCACAGCGTATACCCGCCTCGGGACACTAGAGAAAGTTTTCCACGGCAATCTCAGAATCCGATTCCTCGATCCAACTCGACAAAAATCGCTCTACTGCAAATTGAGAATTAGCATGGACATTTTTTATTGCATCATCTGGACGTGCTTAAAGACCTGGTTTCGCTGTATTTTTTTGCAATTTTTTTCTGATATGGAAAAAAGTATAAAAATCTATTTAAAAGTAAGAAAATGCACCGCCTAGTGACGTCATCCGGCGGCATTTCCTATTTAACCACATGTATTTTAGCAGATTAGATCATTTTGTCATATCTTCTCCAATAATTGTTCAATTCACGAACCAAGGGTATCCTCGTGTTCAGTTCACTTAGTAGTTTCCACTTAAACACGAAATTCATCAAATGTCAAACACCTGCAAATTCCCTATTAGGCTAAGAAAAATTTTCAAGGAAAAATATTTCAAGGAAAAATATTTAAAACTCTCCTCAAAATTTAACGTTTCAAATGGGGAAATTTGGCAATTCCTGAAGGCTTATACGGCGTTTCTGCCTGGAATGGCAGCATGGTCTAGGGCCGTTTCCCACTATCCAGGAGCCCGTAGTTCTACTCAGTAGTTTCCACTTAAACACGAAATTCATCAAATTTCAGACACCTGCAAATTCTCCATTTGTGGGATTTTTTATTCCGTGAAGGGTCACAACGAGGGGGCGATGGTGACCTCAAGGTGGGTCAAAGGCCCGTGACCCTTGGCCCGGTCACCAGAGGGACATCGACACACGTGGGTGGGTGGATGCTGGAAGCGATGTGGAAATGAAAAACGAGGGACTTACCGAGAAAGTGGAACCGGTAAAGAAAACGCGCACGACGCGATCTCAAATTCGCATGTTTCTCGAAGACTGGGCCCCGAGTCGGATCTTGCGGAGTACCTACGAACAAAACAGAAATCTAAAACATACGGAGCGTCTAATTTTAGATTTTGGCGTGTTATGAGCTGTCGCTGTCCCTCCCTCAACGTGCAACGGTCTCGATTCGAGCCCCCGGCACCCCCCTCCCCCCCTTCGCCCCTCGCAGCCCCCAGACGATGCCGGAGCTCTTTTCCGAATCATCCTTCGCGGAAACCCCATTTTTTGGCGAATTTTCGCGAGGGGATTTGGTTGACTTTTTCGACCGAACATTTGAAAAAAAAAAAAAACACATTGGATCTAGAGTCCAGACTCTGAAAACATTGACAAGAAAAAGGACTCTTGATTCAATCAGATTTAAGCTTAAATCAAAAGGAAATACGCTCAAATTAAGAGGCTTGGTTTTTTATTTAAGCCTAAATCTGATTGAATCAAGAGTATTTTTACTTGTCGATGTTTTTAAGAGTCTGGACTCTAGATCCAATGTGTTTTTTTTCCAATGAATCCTGATGAGGAACCCAGAACGGAGGAATATTTAGAATAAATAAAACCAACACCAAAATTGAACAGATGATGAGATATATGTGATTCATAAAAAATTTAAACTTACTTGGAACAATAATATTTATAAACCAAACGATTACCATGATAAAAGCAACAGAAAAGGGAAAAGTATTTCTTCCCCAAGTAGTTTCTACTCCCCTTCTAGTAGTTTCTTCCCCAACTCAATCCACTAGCTGATTCCTTATATCAATGCAAACTGTGACTTGAAATTTTGGTCCATTATATTTATACGTATATTAAGCCTCCGCGGCTACGATGGGAAGTATCTTTTCTCAAGGAAGGCGTTTTCATGCTCCGTCAGTTCGTCACTCTTCAAGTAATTATGTACAACAATTGCACTTATCCACTTATCTAAGCTGCTACACCGCTGATTGGATTTTGAAATGGTGCAACTATTCAGCCTCCGCGGTCACGATGGGAAGTATATCTTCTCAATGAAGGCGTTTCTTATGCGCCGCCACTCTCCGTCAAGTAATTACGTATAACAATTGCACTTAATATACTTCTTATGCGCAGTTACTTACTCTTGATGAGGTAATTTTGTGATTCAGTGATTTACTTACTTAATTGAACTCATACTTTTGGTTGAGTTTTGAAGTAATGCAATGGAAAGTTTGTCTTGATGTAAACGATGTAAACGACTCTCAGGATAGCGTGGGATATACCCTCCATTTTGGCCTCAACTTAAGAGCTTTTTTTGAGCTTAGGAGTTGATTTCAGAGAAAGAGAAAACCAGTGGCCCCATCGTGTTTCTCGCGAACTTGTACATAAGAATCAATAGTCAAATCGCAAATTCCTCACACATGCAACATCTCCATTGCATTACTTCAAAACTCAACCAAAAGTTTGAGTTCAATTAAGTAAGTAAATCACTGAATCACACAATTATTTTATCAATAGTAAGTAACTGCGCATGAGGAGTATATTAAGTGCAATTGTTGTACGTAATTACTTGACGGAAAGTGGCGGCGCGTAGAAACGCCTTCACTGAGAAGAGATACTTCCCATCGTGGCCGCGGAGGCTGAATAATTGCGTCATTTCAAAACCCAATCAACAGTGTAGCAGCTTAGATAAGTGGATAAGTGCAATTGCTGCACATAATTACTTGATGAAGAGTGACGGAGCATAAAAAACGCCTTCCTTGAGAAAAGATACTTCCCACCGTAGCCGCGAAGGCCTAATACTTATAAGAATATTGGGCCAAAATTTCAAGTCATAGTTTAGCATTGATATGAGGAATCAGTGGCGAGGCGTGAATTGCGATATATCGATTGTTATACCATTTAAACCTATGGTATAGAATCGATTATTGAGGTAATCGTTACGAACACCCTGTTTATCGATCTTTTTCCATAGGTTTAAATGACAGATCAATCAATACATTGCAGAACCCGCCACGCCACTGGAAGGAATCGTTTCTGAAACAGGCAGTGGCACCTGCAAACTGTGGCAATCAGTCGAATTCGGATTTCCGATTTATTGTTCTCTAATTTTGAAATTTTCGCGAGAGATCGTTTTTGAAATTCTTGGGATATGTTGCGTCAAATGATACAGAATCAACTCCCTTCGGCTGCGGTATACTTAATTATATCAGTTCTAATTTTTGTCCATTGTCGGTACAATTTTGCCGAATCCCATCACGTTTTAATCTCGGTTCGTTTAAGACGAATCATTTTTTTAAAAAAAAATTAAATGTAGAACTCTGCAATTTTGGGAATTTTTGACTGTTCAAAAAACAGGAATCAGGTCATCCCTCTGGGCAGTGCTTCATATCATGAGATTTGGCTGCACTGCCATGCCTAGGAAGAACACCGTATGCACATCCGAGAGTTGCCATATTTTCCAGGATAAAACATGCAATTTTAAGGAAAGTTATTCGTATTTTTCCGTGACATGTGCAGATATTTTAGAGTAAAGTCCGAACAAAATTTTCTGAAAAATTTGAAGAAAAATATTCATAATTTTCCATGCGAATGCATTTTTAATCGAAGGAATTATCACGGGAATTCACGCCGCCGCTTTGCCTCAGCGGCTGGGCCGCGTCATATCGTCACATAAAGCGCCTTCCATTTTTGATGAAGCAAAATCATGACTCGGGCGTGAAATTATAGACACTATTGCTGCAATTCGTCTTGAGTTAAACGGATATTAAGTATTCGATATAGGTATCGATTAATTCTCGTTGAAGGCATCATTATGTTTCGATCCAATTCAACGCATAAGCGACAATCATAGAGTACATAGAGTCGTAATGTAAATGGGAGAGCTGGCGCCATGTTCTGCTCGACGAGTTCCGAGCCCGGTGTGCGCCGAGTTCGGGTCACTTTTTCGATACATGTTCGATCCAAAATGGCGGAGTGGAATACGTGGTGTTTCCTATCTTCTTTGTTTACATCGGATGGCCGGGTACCCGTGTATCCCAAACAATCGATTATGTATCGAAAAAGTGACCCGGCGTCACACAGGAGTCTCGGAATTCGAGACCTGGAAAATGCCTAAAAGTGGCGCCAGCTCACCCACTTACATTACGACTCTATGTACTCTATGGCGACAATTTCCATTATTATAGAAATAGTTATTAATCCCCATGCACACGAATCATCGCATATATGTCATCGTTTCCCGAACGAAGGAACGTAATTCCGTATCAAAGGAGCAAAATTGACTTAAACAATTCAATTTTTTAAAAGAATATACCTGCGCAATTATTGTCAAAAAATTGTCTGATTTATGCACGAAATCAAAGTAAAAATCAGTAAAGTTTTCATTTAAAAGATTCTCTTGATATATACGAAATTTACGAAGAGAAATTTGGCAACATAGATAAGTATGAAGTTACGTTCTTTCCTTTCGTAAGGGAGCTAACGATGTATAACGTATCAAGCCACTTTCCTTCCAGCCAGGCAAACAGCTGAAGTTACAATACTGTATTCCACTCAGAAAAGTAAAACATAATACAGCTTTATGTGTCCGCCCATCGAAACAACTTTTTTACCTGCCACAAATTGAATCAAAATCATCCCTCTCGAGTACCTATAACTCATAGAAAAACGTTTAAATGAGCATCGCAAGCATATCAGCCTTGACCTTGACATTCCAAACTTAAAAAGATGTGAGTAACTGGTTGATTGATGTGGGTGAATATCTGAGCCAGCCGCGCCACTGGAATAGTTCTGGCTGCTGATTGATGAGTTTGCATTTGCATTCGGCGTCTTTGTTGTGCTAGCTCAAATATCACATATTTCGACTGCTGTAATTTTTACATAGGTGCAAACTAACTCTCTCGGTAGGAAAATTTTATATCCATGAAAAAAGAAATTCTCCTTGCAGAATGAAACTTTCAGAAAATAGCATATCTCTGGAGAAGGCGAAAAATGGATATCCGTAATGCGACGATTTAAAAGCTCCTGACGATGAGGCCACGTCCGCCACCTTGAATCTTGAATTTTGACTAAAAATTCGAGTTTCTTGTCGAAAAATACCCCCTAATGACATTTTTTTTACAAAATTGATCTAACAGCAGCCAAGATAGCATTTTAGGTCACGTCTGCCATCTTAGATTTTTTAATTTTGAAAATTTAAGTTGAAATTCAAGTTTCCCGGCAAAAAATGTCCACTGATACATGACCGGATTTACCTACTTGCCACCCATGAGCCGCCTGTATTTTTCCTCCCTCTTCTCATTCATTTTGAAACATCAATAAAAACCATCAAGTGAACGTGCCGGAGGGAGAAGGGTGCATAAGACGCGTTCACTCGTGTTAGACACATTTTTTGCGTAAGCCCTTTCAACACTACTAGCAAAAGTTCACAAAATATCGCGAGAAAATTCAGTTCCGTAAACCTATCTCTGTGGAGACAAGGCCTTTCATTTGTAAAAAATGAACTAAAAAATTAAGAAAGAAGAAACATACTTGTGGTTTAATAATTTTAACTTCCGCCGCCGTGCCGCGCTGACCACACTGTGTTTGGCGCAATGCGTGAAGTATTCACGTAGTCTTGTAGGCACTGTGCGTTTCACGCCCAGCCGACCACTGTTGACCGTACTAAGTTTGACGTAATGCGTGAAGTATTTATGCAGTCTCGTAGGCGCTAATATGTGTTACCTGCTGACCGCCGCGCCGCGCCGCGCCGCGTCGAGTGCTTCTCCTTTTTATCTCAAGTCCTCGTCATCATTTCTCTTGACGTCGCGCCGCTCCAGGCCAAATTTCGTGTTTTGTTTCTCTCTTAACTCAACTAATTAAAGGTGCGCAGTCTTTTGTATCACCGAAATACGACAAAATTAGAAATTAATGGACTCTCAGGAAATGAAAGATTTTGTCTCCTTTCCTTGTTTGTAATTTTTTTCTGAATCCGATTTTTTTGTACCTGCATTTAAAAAAATTGCAAAATTTGCCGCCCCCTAATTTTGCCGCCATGGGCCGCGGCCCATGTGGCCACCCCCTTAATCCGGCCCTGCACTGGTACCAAATTTCACAAAAATCGATTGAACAAGAGCCGCATATCGTAAGATCAGAAGGACTCTACACAGTAATAAACGATACCAGTCGATTTACATGCGGCGAAGCGCCTTCATTTTCGTCTGATACTCCGCAATACTTCGGTGGCGGTATAGTTGCTCGGAGCGCCTTCGACATAGCTTCGACTTGATAAAGATGACGATATACCGCTGTAATTATACCCTAACGCGTGCGCAGTTACACATTTCCTCATCACCGACGGTGAGGCAAAAACATTCATGCCACATTTTGCAACGTTGCAAGTTTTCCACTATGCCTATTTTCGCGGTAAACCGTGAACACTATGAAATCTGTCATGAATTTTCCGAGATAAGTTGAGAAATATTATTTCAATGTTTCGCTCAAGTCTATTTGTATGTTCTCGTTGAAGAGTGTTTCGTATACTCTCGTTTTTCATACTATACCGTTGTATCTCCGATTTTCCCAGCGCTGCTACCAAAATTTTGAACTTTTTCTCATCCATTAAGCTAAAAACCTGACTTTTTTGTAATTGTTCTCACCCTTTTATAAAGTCTGTAAAGACATTAACAGCCTCGGTATCGCTAAATATCTCTGAACAATGATAACTAACTAACTAACTTATTATTATTAAAATGATTTTGTCTTCCAACCAATCAGCAGATTAGCTGGACGTGTTCGCTGTTTGCACGGGCGCGCTAGCAGGCTAACTCCCTTGTCTACTTTCGATTCAACAAATGTCAGTCGCCTTCAATTCAGAGTGAAGCAAAAGTAGTGTCTTCACGATCGTGGAATCTCATGTCTTTCGCCTTCGTAAGACGGCAGAGAAGAGGAGGCTACTGAAAGAGGCAAACATCAGAGGTTTTTCCCCCTCACTTCTTATTTTGTCATTTAATCAGTTTAAATCCACATCAAATGAAAAAGAAGCAATTGAGGGGTTAGGAGGTAAAGGCGCATAAGTCGTGCAGTTTTTGCTATTTTGAGAAATACGTGTTCGAAGTTATAAAATTATATGGATCCTCAGGGCCGGATTTACCTACATGCCGCCCATGGGCCACCTGTGTTTTTCCGCCCTCTTCTCATTTGTTTTGAAACATCAATAGATTGTATTCGAAAGTGGTTCAATGTATCGTTTGGCTCAAAACAATAGAGCATAACCTCAAACAAAAATTTTAAGATTTAATTTGGAAAAGGTGAAAATGAGAAAATTCCTAACAATTTCACTTTTCATTGTCATTTTGTGCTCGAGAGAATAATAATTCGATCACATAAGACCCGTTACCTCAGATTTCGAAATTGACTTTTGAGGCTTTGATTGTCATATTGAACCAATCGATATCAATATAATCTCACCTGTGTGATCTGTCGAATACGATCTATAAAAACCATCAAGTGAACGTGCCAGTGGGGGAGGGGTGTATAAGACGCGTTTACTCGTGTTGGCCACATTTTTGTAAAAGCCCTGTCAACACTAACAAAATTTCAGTTCCGTAAACCCATCCCTGTTTGGACGAGGCCTTCCATTTATAAAAAAGAACGAAAAAATTATGAAAGAAGAAACATAAATGTGGTTAAAAATTGTAATTTCCACCGCCGCGCCGACCGCACTGTGTTGGCGCAATGTGTGAAGTATTCATACAGTCTTGTAGGCGCTATGCGTTTCACGCCGACCGCTGCTGACCACACTGTTTGGCGCAATGCGCGAAGTATTCATGTAGTCTTGTAGGCGCTATGTGTTTCATGCCGACCGCCGCCGCGCCGCGCGCCGCTCCGTTCCATGTCAAATTGCGTGTTAGGTTTCTCTCTTAACGCGACTAATTAAAGGTGTTGTCTCTTGTATCACCGAAAGACGACAAAATTAGAAATCACTATACTTTTACTCTCAGGAAATGAGAGATTCTGTCGCCTTTTCTCGTTTGTACTTTATTTTCTGAATCCGATTGTTTTCTCCCATTTTTTGATAACTATATTCAAAAAGATTGCAGTATTTGCTGCCCCTTACATTTTGCCGCCATGAGCCGCGGCCCATATGGCCATCCCCTTAATCCTGCCCTGTGGATCCTTAGTAGAAAGAAAGTTCAAACTGACTTTTTGATGCTTAAAAATTGAAATTCAGGCGCGAATTATTCACAGAATATGCACGAAGACAAGTTTTACTTGAAATCATTGATACCTCAATTTTTTCAAAAACTGCACCTATGTGATTTGTCCTCCAAGCTCCTTAATTTGATTACTTCAGGGTCATTTATGTAAGATACTTACATCTCGCTGAAGGGTTGGTTCAAATAAATTTTAACGTTTTTTTAGACTTTTGTAGACCCAGAACGACAGCTTAAATTCAAGGAAAATAAAGTTTTGAATGTTCGTACTTTTGCCGCACCATAACTCACTTGAGCATATTATATTCTTGATTTTAAAGAACACCGCCGTCAAAAGTTGAGTTTCCCGTAGATTTAACACTTTTTGTACATGGTCTACGCTAAGAACAAAAACAATTGTTTTGACTGTAGAGTGCCTAGTTTGTAAGTACCTGAAAATGTAGGAAAAGAATCAAAGTCAGCAATAATACTAATGAGAGTCCCCCTAAGTTCCAGGAATAAAAAAATTACATGTTGATTACCTTCCGACCAGTGGCGTTAGGGGCAAGTGACCTGCAATGACCCATCACATGCTAACGTTCCAAAATATTTAGATTGTCTTTCTTTCGTTTGCGTGGTAGCGGGAGATTCTGTCAACGTTATTTTTCATGGCCTATGATTGAATACAAATTAATAATATTGATAAAAAAAAATCAAGTTTTCAGCACGTCCATAAATTTTTCTCGTATTTCATCTAGGCCTTCTGGATCGTCCCCCCTCCCCCCAAAGGCCACCACTGCTCCCGATTATAATGATGGTGAAGGAGCTGAGCTGGGAAACCTTGGCAACGTTGTAAGGGATGACATGAGCTCTTTCGCTCCGCGGGAAAATTGCATTTCCGCGTTCTTGAACTTCCGCGTATTAGCCTACCCTTTCGCGATGCGTTCGATCGGGTCAATTCGATTTTCTTCCGCACACAACCCGGCTGTCACTTTTTCATTGCCAGTGTCACGAAATTAATCACCGGTTCGCAAGGGTAGAAAAATTGGGGAGGGAACGGGACGGCGGGATAGGGGTCAATGAAAAGAACTGAGTCATACACACGGGAGAGAGAGGGGACGATTGGGAATGGCGGGGATCAGAGAGAGAAAAGGGGTGTTTGACCTTGGTATAAGTTGCTCCATAATCCACGGTGGAGCGGAGTGGGGGGAGACGGCGGTGACCAGTCAGCGACGAGCGACGGGGAACGACGTCGGTGTGAGCGTCGCGACGGCTTCTAGTTCAGATGAAATCCGTGGAGCAGCTTTCTCGAGCACCATTTTTGATAATCGCGAAAAGTAAACAACAGCGGAATGTGGAAATGGTCCGTCTGTCCGGACAAAGAGAGAAAATAGAAAAGTGCAGTGTCTGTGTCGGTCGTGTTTGAAGTCCTCGGTCCTCGCGATTTGACCGAGAAAGTGTTCCAACTAATCAAAATATTTTGTCTTTGTTGATCTGTCGCTTGCACTAATTAAATGTTACGCTTCAACTGCGCTAGCGCTTTTCGAAAATTTTACGGTAGATCGTGCCTAGACAAGGTATCGAGTTCGGTAGTCAACTCATGAAGTGAAACTAATTTTCATCCTGTGTTACATTCCAATAACGTTTCTTCATATTAATGTTAAATTGTAAGGTCAATCTGTAGATAAGCGTGTCAGCTTATGCTCCAAATTTAGTGATTTTCATCCACTTCTAGGTAGGTAATGATAATGATTATTCTCCTATTTAGTTGAAAGCTTGAACTTTCCCTAACCTCCCATTCTTGTCTCTAGCTTATTTCCTCCCACAGGACTACTGATAACAGACACAGCACCCTATTTTATGGAACACTATTTTAAGGATGAATCTCAGTAATTACTAATTAGTTAGTTGCCATTTGTTTTTCCCGAATTATTATTACTGATAAGATAAGATGTCAAGCATCCAAGCAACGTAGCGTCTCATTATCACTAGTCATCGGGCAAGAAAGTTTCCAAGTAATATATCAGACAGAATCCACCAATCCTATAAATTTCTCTTTTAATTCGTAGGAGATATTATGTAATTATAGAGACCTAAAATAACCTCAATTTTGTCGGTCAATGTTTTTGCTGAAATGCATTGACCTGCATTGCTACTACCACAGACTTATTCAGTAGCTGCGTCATTCGATATAATATCAAACTCTTGGTTCAAGACAAAACAAATTAACAGAACCCTGTGTATGAATTCTTCATGAGTTAACTTGGTTAATTTATTAAACTTTAGTCATTGACCAGCTATAAATCAATTGAAGATTCACTAAACACAAGAAATTTTGATTGTAAGAAACACTAGAACGCATTTTTCCATTGTGGTGTAAAGGGCGCAAGGTTCTGTGTTTGTTTACATTTGAAACAAGGGCTTGATATTACATCGGATGACGTAGCCACTAAATCAGTCTATAGAGAACAATAGAGTCGCAATGTTTCAGGCTGTTTTGTCCAGTTCTTTTAGAGCGCTGTAACTGACAATGCCGCATGCGCAGGGTCCCAGCTCCCGCCTTTGCTCAGAAAACGTATAATTTACTTTATAAAAAGCAGGAGTTCTGTACATTTCTGAATTTGTTATCACTTTGGCCAACATAATTTGCCCACTTTCGCAAAAATAATTTTGGATTTAAATTATAAATTAATTAAAAAATCCCAAAAACCACTTTGAATTTGCGAGAGTTTTTTCTCTTACTTCACAGACCTTGCTCTTAGACATTGAGATCAACACAGCCACTAGCAAGTTACATGACCATCACACAAAGGATCCGTTGGTCTTACATTAGCTACTCACTGCTTATTTAACGCCATCAATTTGGCCGTGAAAAAAATGCTTGTGCTGAAAATCTTGCATATCTGTGGTCTAACATCCCTTTCCCTGTGGACGATTAAAGTATATTCATATATTTTTTGTGTTTTTTGTCGTATATTCATATATTTATATGATTTCAAGTGAAAACTGGCCCATTTTCGTTCTACATCATCAACTGTCTCGGTAATCAAGTATCATTCTAAAACATTCTTTTTTGTTTTCAGTCTTTCAAAATGGATTGTGGCGTTGCATCAAATTATTCCAATGCTGGTTCTGCCTCTCAAAATTCAGCCGCATCACCAAACGGCATGAGAACAGAGCGGAGTCCCTCTAAAAGTGGACTTCATGTTAACTTTTCGGAGAAAGGTGAAGTGAAGGAAAAGCGAGAGAAGTTCCTGACGGCCAAATATGGATCTCATCAGATGACACTAATAAGGAAGAGACTGGCAGTAGAAATGTGGCTCTATGATGAACTACAGAAATTATATGATAAATTGCCAGTAAGACAATGATTTTTTCCCATGATTTACTTTGATGTGTGTCTCTCTGTATGTATTCTTTGTCTGGACATTCTAAGAAGCAGATCTGTGTTTCCAACAAGTTTTAGACTCTTTCTACAACTGATGGTCCCCAAGTTAGATGTTTGGCCAGGGTCACTCAAGTTAGATGGCCCTGGACAATGCTCAGCTGCAGGAAAGAAAACGAATAATTGGAGAAAAATAGTGGAATTAGCTCTTTGGACTAATATTTAAGGAGATTTCAGAAGTTAGCAAGCAATTAATATTCCGTGCAGTGTTTCATGTGCTTCAAAAATATAGTCCACTGGGACATTTACAAAGGCCTGCAAAAGTAGAGTCCCTTTATACCCAGAGTTAAGACAACTCACTTTCGGTTGGGCTGAAAGTGGCCTAAAAAAAAATCCAATTCTGATTGGTTCTCGCTCATGGAGGCCGAAACGAGTGCACCAAGATGGCGGTACCTCAAATGTGAACAAGAATAATGAAAATATTACCTAATTGTGGTTTATCAAGAGTAAATTGTTATTTCCATCGGTCCAAAATGAATATAGATTAAGAAATTATTCACAAACCAATCCCATTTTCTTTTTAATTGATCAATTTGTTGATATTGTTGTTTTTGTGTGACAGACATCGCAGGATTCCTGATCCTTATCCCTCAATATCGTTCGTTTGGGTGCACTCGTTTCGGCCTCCATGACCAGCCAAGGCCGGCTGCCAGTCAGCTGATAATCGAGTTGTCTTTACTCTGGGTATAAAGGGACTCTATGCAAAAGATTCTTCAATTGTTTCATTGATGGAAGTGAATGCGCATGCATGGGTTAATCTTCTGGAGAAGATATGGATTGCATTCAATTGAACATAAGGGAACCAGCTTGATCATAGTGTGGTAAAAATTGTGTATCTTCATCTTCATGTCAAAAAATGTCTAGAACAGCAAATAGTTTTTGTTGTTCCACCAAGAAATCGTAATTTTTTTAGGAAAATTATTGAATTTCCCAACATACATATACTTTTAGTATTTTTTAAAGCAAAGAAGAATTTGTACGATTTTAGAAACACTGAAATCAAGCTGGCTCTCTTGGCTGTTACATGCAATCCAAATTAAGCTGTTCTTAAAGAAGACCTTTTAATGGTACAACCATCCTTATCAAAGCCAGCTACCTTTAGCTTTGCCACAATAAATTTCCCTCTTAACTAGGACTGTTCATTTGGGGAGATAGTCCATTTCATTTTACTACCATATGAAAATAGATCTGCAATCTTTGCAATGGAATTCCAGCATCGCCCCCTTTTTTTTTACTTTCTAGGGTTGTTGTTTTTTTTTAAAATTTTTTTACCAATAGGTGATCACCGATTTGAAGATCTAGATATCCTTAGCAAAATGCGTTTTGCAACAAATTTTTTAGCCACCTGAAAAAAAAAACAAGACTTTATCATTATTTCAAAACTAAAGAGATTTTCCTTAATTTTTTTTTTCATTCTGTCCCCATTTCTTATTATCACCTGTGCTTGCTGGATAAAGCATTATCTTTCGAATACTTGGTTGTTAATTTACTGCTTCAATTTTAATTTTTTATACTCGTGTTAAGTACTTTGATTTCAAAGACTTTTTTTTCATGATTGTTTGCAGGATTCAACAGAGAGTGCAGATGTTGAAGTAGATATTGATGAATTACTGGACATGGATAGCTGTGAAGAAAGGAGGAATCATCTACTTGTAAGTTCAGCATACATCAATAACATTTCTGCAGATTATTCAGGGTGTCTACCGGTCCCAAAAGTCCCCAATGTCCCCGATTATCCCCGATTTTGGAAGGGTGTCCCCAATTTTCTTGTTCAGGTCCCCAAAAAATGACAAAAATCGTCCTAAACACCGGCATTTTCAAAGTTTCCCACCAACCATGGTATAACCAGGAATAAAAGAACTGGAGTGTTGCTTGGTTTTTCGTGTGTTTTCATCGGTTCAACATGACTTGTAAAATTAGTTGTATAGAGTACGCCTTTTAACGCTCTAACTAGCTCCCTTTCTCTTACTATTCCTGGAAAAAAGTCCCCGATTTTTTTGAATTTTTAAAATCTGACCAACTAGAGGCTGATAGTCGTTATGACAGAACGAGACCGTATCTCTGGCTGGGCTTCAGCCAATCAGTGTACACAGACTCCCTTGCTTGTCTACGTCATAATAGACTGCTAAAAATATTGTTTCTAATGGATCTACCCTTTGGCAACTTCCAATCAATCGTAGTAACTTAGAGTAAAAAAAAATGTAATTAAATACTATGGTCTCAACTCAAATGGTACTTCAAAAAAATAGTTGCCCCTGATCCATTGTTTAAATTACTATCTATCAGCTCCAAAAATTAACGAGTTCAGAATAGACGGAGTCTACGACAGGCAATTATCAAGTAGCTGAAGCAACTGGTTAGATGACTCTGCAATTTGTTTCCATTCCATAAAGTCACCAAACCTTGATTCCTTGCATAGAAAAACTAAATCACCAGAACTGAGTTGCAGGATGTAGGCCATCATATACCATAATGACCTACAAGCGTCCGACGGTTTGCCTTCATCTGTACATCCACAGTAAAATACCTACCGCATTGGATCTTCTAATATTTCACTGTATCAGGATTGGGCTAGTGTTTTTTAACTTCCAGGAATATTTCATTTTTCCAAAAAATAATAATCATCATTCAACAGAAATGTTCTACTTCACTCGATTAGAATATTCAATACTGAAGTTTTTGCTAGTAAAGAAGAAAAAAAGTGAAATATTTAGTAATTTACTACTATCAATAATAGAGTGATTATTGTAAACTGGAGGCTTCAAACAGGTTCATTGCCTAGTTGAGAGAGTTGATTGTTGCCTTTCAAAGATCGTCGAACAGCAATCTTTGAATGTGACTTATGTAATCGGGACATATCGTAGATCAGATCTCAAGATTTTCAAAAAATTTATGCAGACCTGCCCTAAAAATTAAAGAATTATTGCCAGTTTGAGAGCCCCAGTTTGTTCATGGTTAAAAGCCTTCAACACTGGACATAAAGTTCTATTAGCTTCTCAAATTACTTTTTGTTCGTTTTTTTTATTCTTAATGATTCTCATGTTGGTACCATTTTGCAAAAGATTTTTTTTTCAATAGAGATTTTTTATTTATTTACCTATTTTTTTTTTTTTTTTTTTTTTTCAGAAACTCTTGGCGACATGTAATAAATCACCTCATGAAATAAGTGTAAGTATTTATAATTTTAATATGCATATTTTATCATACTTCTCTAATAATGATGTAGTATCTCTCTAAAAACCCAGCACCTACTTTTAACAGGTACTGAGTGGAATCAGTCAAGGGAGAAAATTAGTCTACTGTACCGCCCATGCAGTTCGTTCTAGTGGTGACAAAATTTATTCCCATTTAAAAATGGAGTTGGCAGTTTCAATTTCTATAATCAGGATCGCTGTTTTTAGCCGTGTTTACAAATTTCTTGAGATTCGTTGTATTTCTCAAATCAGAAGGAAGGGACGAATACTAAGATTTTTTCATAATACAATATTTCCTTCCGATCTGGGTAAGATTACAAATCATTGAAGCTTACTCTACCCTCGAGCACCAGAATGTATACTTATTGTGACTTTTGATAGACTCTTTTTTACTCCTCCTCCTTTCCCTTGCACTCTCCACTCCTTCCGCATCAGAGTTCATCTCAGTTTGAATCCAGTTGGATTTATTTAGATTTGCATGTCTGTAAGAATATTTTCTAGAACATGTCTTTTGTATTTTTATCTGTGGAACCCTGATAAGGCTTTCATTTATAGTTCATTATTATTGATAAAAGATAAAAATGTATTTCCTAATTGCCATGAATTTTCCTACGCACTGAACTCAAGTACAGAAGCCAATGATAACCCCTCTTCATGACCGAAAAAGATCTTTTTAATGAATGATCTACCATAGTGTTGTATCTATGCTCTAACCTATTCACAAGCCTTTGTTCCTTGCCAAATGTTTTCCTCTGATAACCTCTGGTTTTTGCAAATAAGAGAGCATGAATACCGCCCGTTATCATAGACTTATTTAAGCAATCTTGCAAAATTGAATATTTTTTCTCCTTTTATTAGTAGCTCAAAGTTTGAAATCTTTATTTGATCTGGAGCAGTAGACCTGCAGGTTAAGTATGAACTTCAGCACTGAGATTTATGTTCTCCTCTCCAAATTTCACCAAGAGTTAAAGATAGCTGAACGTGGCAGCAGCTTTTCAAGTTTTGGGACGCTGCAGACTGCTTGTCTTACTTTATGTTCTAATTGCATATGTAATCCTCATGATTTCTTGAAAATTTACACCATTTTCATTTCTCGTTTAAAGATTATTTTACAAAAATGATCAAATTTCTACAGAATGAGCTTTTCCCTTAGAGTAAAAAAAATGTCCATATCCGTTTCGAAATTATTGGTAAATGGCTGAAAAAATCATCCTCTGTATGTATAAAGGATCCATACGTCCTACTGCCTCTTTTTATATCGAACAAGAAGTCAATTCGTCACCTTCAGGCTAATGTATCACAAGTGCCATGCGACATTTAAAAATTTCCGCTGCCATTTAATTTTTTTTACAGAGAAATTGTTCTACAAAGCTGTCCGAAAATTTCACCAAATTTTCTTTGTGCTGCCGATAAGATTCGGTGAAATTTTCAAACAGATTAAACCAACCATTTCTCTGTAAAAAAATAAAATGGCAGCAGATATTTTGAATTGTTGCATGGCGCGTGCAATACTTTGGCTGGAAGCTGACAAATTACTAATCCTAGAAAATTTGGTGGTTAATTCAGTTCGTTCCATCCCAAGAAACCTAAATACCTACCTAGGGAGAGAATTTGCATCTCAATCCTTTTATCACAGAAAAGCGGTGCTGCTTGTTGATTGACCACGCCATTTTTCCCTTCAGGGAACCTCTTTGCCCGTAATTTTGTATCAATGTTAACAAACAAGGTGGCAACTGAGTCATATAGATGAGATAAGAATTGTTCAATTTTTAATTTCTGAACAAACTAAGATGATTATTTTTGTGGAAAGTTTTACTTTCTTGTATCATTCAGTTCTCTCTTGACGATACAAATTTATCAAAATCAGGTTTGTTCACATTGGTTCTTAAAATAGCTCTTCGAATTTCGTGAATTATTTTAAGTATTTTTCTTGGTTCTCATGCTGAATCGAATTGTTCTGTTGTTTCAGAATTTTATGGAGGAACTTCTTGCCAAAATAAAAACTCTGTAAACTACCTTCATGATGGAGCGGTAATCTTCAAGACGTTAGTTCGTTCATTTGTCATCTCATTCAGTATCTTTAGTATTTAAAATGCCTCTTTTGAAATGCCACAAGGTTTTTTTCTTGTTTGAGATAGAAATTATTTATTTTATATCTACTCTTATTTTATTTTTCAACTATTTTTTAAATTTGTATTTATTTGTGTTTGACACATCGTAGTTTCTTCAACCAGACCCACCTAATCATCTGTCAAGGGCTCTTCTGTGAAACAAGTTTTATGAGTTGCAATCAGATATCAGCAGAACCTTCAGCAGCCTGAAATTTTATCCTAAGCGGTTTTCCTCTAGCATTTAATTTGAATTGCTCCCTCCTTACCATCAATTATCAAAAGGAGGTTCCAACTTATTTTTAAAAAAAATGAAATGATGTCATATTCATTTTAATAAGAGTTGTCCTCCTGTCACTTGTTTATTTTGTGACTTTAGTTTGCTCATAATTTAAATATTTACTTAAATAGAATTTAAGGAAAAGATAGTGAAGAAGGCTTTTGCTACAAGGAAAAGAAATGTCCTTATAATTTCGGTTGTATGACCTAGAAAGTCATGCGTCTCATTTGGTTGCCCTATCCAAACGTTTATCTGGCTCATATATTTGGACGATATTTAGTAATTTAAACTTAATTGCATTTAAATAAGAGCTGTAGGTTGCATCAATTATCTTACATAGTAGGTATCTCTGCTAATGGGGAAAGCACATAGATTTCTTAAGCTATGAAACGATCAGTTTTCTCACAAAAATTGATCGATTGTTCAACAATTTATGTAACTGTTGTTTAACCAAAAAATAGTCATAAGAACACCAGTTTCTTTTATTCACTCTTGGGTTTTAATACTCCATGGAAACTTTTCAGAGTATCATGATTTGCTCAACTTAATACAATGCATGTTGTTTTTCACTGTATTATATAGTTTTTGTAGAGGACACTTCTTCTGCTCTTCCAGCCTTGAAATGTGCTTCTTTAACACGGAAACGCAAAGTCCAAGATTTGTCCTATGTCTTTAGTGGAGATCAAGTAATTTGATCATAAGGGAGAATGTTGTATTTACTTAAGTATAATTTTTGTAATGCACCTAATACAGATCTCTGTGCATTTGAAATAATCACATTAGACTGAAGCGCAAATGATCTCGCTCAGTTTTTTGAATGGCAATCTCATTCAGACTAACTGAATCAAATCTCATTTTTACTACTCAAGCCTTATAATTTTATTGAAGATCGTAGTACAAGTTTCTCCCTCTTCTAAATATTTTTTTCCACCTTTAGAGAAAGAAAACTCAAGCTAAGGCTATAAAACATGATTCAACTTTATTGCAAAGAAAAGCTATCCCCTTCTGAGAAAATCGCATTTTTTGACAAGATCATATCTGTATACCAAATCCTTCGGCTACAATTTTTTATTTACAAGTATTACAGAAACAAATTAAACTACTTAAGAGCACTTTTGTTCGGTGCAAGAAAATAGCAAGAGGGAAGTTGGGATTAACCCCCCATTTTTTTCGTGTAGCCTTTACAGAAGAGTCCTTCTTTTAAGAGTGAAGTTGGATGCTGTTGGAAGGAAATCTACAGAGCTGTGAATTTTTAGCATTCTCAATTATTGTGGAAGTCACTTTTGAATTCATATCATTTTATTTCAATGTTCTTATACAATTTTCCTTTTAATATTTTATTTTAATTTTATTTTATATCGTTGAAACAAATGTTCCAATTTTATTATCCGTTCACTATTTCATAAGGCTTGAAACTCTTTTATCGGTAGCCAGAGCCTATGAGGCATGAGCTTATGTTTCTTGCCTCAAGTACATACATTTTTCAGCTATTATCCTCCTAGCCAAAGCAAGTAATAAAATAAATTGTAATTGTTTTGTGATATTTAATTAATACTATCTATTTCCTTGATTGTGGCATAATGTCTGATGTTTACTCCTTTGTCTTATTCAATTTCTCTCTGAATCTCATTTAATAGGTAGTTTTTTTTCTTTTCATTTTGTTTGACTAATTTTCGATGGTTAAATTGCAGAAGTACATTTCTCTGTCTGCCGCGTGGCAGAATCCCTGTCTAATTTATTTTCCACTTTGAAAACTACGAAACATCATTTCTTGAAAATTTTGTTTATTCTTTTTCTCTATGTGAAGAATATTCTATAACATTTTCGAGCCATGATATTTTTTTGGTCTCTTTTTAAAAAATAAAATAGGAGCAGAGATTTTGAAGCATTGCAAGCAAGATACTTATTTTTGCAATTCACCGCGGATTTCCAGTCTCCGTGACCGTGCATAATTACTAATATTAAAGGCCTAATGAAATGCAATGAAAGCACCCCTGAATCAGGACTGAATAACATTATAGATTTAAATAGTATGCAATATGTTTTAGTGTTTCAAATTTTGAACTCTTTATTTTAATTGATTTTCCTTTTTTTTTAAAAATTACAATTTTTTACTTCAAAGCCAAGTGTTTTATTTTTTAGCTAGGCTGTAGATAAATTAATTTAAATCCTTACTTTCCTTTTTATCATCAGTTTTACAATGAACAGAGCCTGCTTGCTGGTCAAAGTTAAAAATGCTCTGATTCTGGCTTATTGTCTTCAAATATTATTGTTCATCATCGGAATAAATTGATAGTGGGTTTATTCTGTGCTATGTTTTACTCTCAAAACGCCAAATTCTTACCAGAAATAAAAGGAAGATTTAAATCTCATAACTGTGTAATTTCTTCTCTCAATTTACCTTTTAACCTCCTGCTGTCTTTGCTTTCTTAATGTTCATAATGTAAATGAGCATTTGTCCTCAAAAATGAGTAAATTCATGCAAAAGTTAAATCAAATATGTGATTTACAAAGGATGGGTCGTAACAATTCTGATAATAAATTGGTTAGGCATATTGAATTTATAGGTTGGCTTCCCTTTTGGGCCCCAGCTCTATTTGCAGAGGCGACTATGAGTGAAGGCCTGATGGATTTTCTGAGTTTCGCACCTGTCTATACTCTTGCTACACTGGTATTCTAGTCTCAGATGACTATTCGCAATGTGGAATTTTGAGTTCTTTTTCCAATCATATTTATGAGCCTATCAAATTTTTGACATTTCAATCTAAGTTTAGAAACGTGCTATAAATCATGGAGTCAACTGGTCGGAAAATAATGAAAAGAATTCTAGATTTAGCCCTCATGCTCTTTTCTGTGTTCATTGTGCACAAATTCATGTGTTTAATTTCTAATTAATTAATTGAATTACTTCGTTCTCGTGGATGCGTGCTTTTTAAAGTGCCATTACAAATACTTAGACTTACAGAACCAACTCAGTATAGAAAAAGAGTAAGGTAAAAGATATAAAAAACATAGGAAAAAAACGGGAAACAATGGATTTGGAATTTTTATGTTTTACTTTTATTCTTCCAACCGAAAGTGGCTCAGTTTTGGGCCGAATCGTCTCGGATTTTTACGTGTAATTTTTAGCCTTGTTTCCCGCTTTTTCTCCTATTTTTTTATATCACCATTATCATGGGCTGCTGTTTTAAAAAGTTTTAACCTGTAGCTGTAAGGTAAAAGACGCGCGTTGATGACGGCGCAGGGATACAACTATTCGTGCTTCATGGATGTCCATGTTGCATCTTTAAAATTGAAGGCGCCATGACGTGAATGGAAAATATACGCTCTCTAAAATTGCCGCTAGTCTCGGAGGTTATAGGATATTTTGTCAACGATTTTTTGTCCGCGCACCTGTTTTTTCCAGTAATTTACGTCCACGCGTTTTTTCGGCATGGGAGTTTTGGTCCACGTGCCAGTTGAGACCCAAAGTTGATTGGCCCACATATAAATACAAACGACAATTTCTCACGACGTTTTTGGATGAAAATATATAATGTCTTGGAAGAACGAGAGTTTGCTTGTTTTTTTGTTTTGTTTGTTTAGTCCTACGGAGAAAAATATATAGTTGAGAGTCTTGGTAAAAATGGGGGAGCGTCACTTCCATGAGACAATATTCACTAAAACTCTCTACACCTCGTTGGTGTAACAAGACTTAATTATCTTTCAAGAAATTCCCACCTTGTTATACCTGAACCGGATAAACCTCTATATTTGCCTCAGCTAAAGGCTCTTAGATTTTTCCTGTGTACGATAAGTATCTTGATTTATTTTGCGAGGAAAGATTTGTACTTTTAAAGGGTACCTGTCATTCTTAATACGTTCAATTTCGTATAATACTGTGCAACACCTCTGTTGTGAAATAGTTGCTTCAGGCGCCGCTGCACGGCGGGCGGGCGGCCAGCGGGAAACGCGCACTGGCGCCTACAAACCTAAGTGGATACTTCAAGCATTGTGCAATGCGTGAAGTATCCACTTAGGTTTGTAGGCGCCAGTAAGCCTCTCGCGCTGGCAGCACGCCTGCACGCCGCTCCTCTCTTTTCGGCTTTAATATTTACACTCGCATAGTCAGCGTTTTTTAACTCATGATTTTAAAATGTTAGCACACTCTGCATTGATCATTCTCTTTTAAATTGATGGGGAAAAAATATGTATCAATTTATCAAAGGAGAATAATAATATAATGTGTGTTTTTTAAATATTGATGGTTCCGTGTCAAATGTAATGATTTCCAAAGCCTTTTAATTTTTTCTTTTACATTTTGTGCTTTTATTGTGCTGCAGTGAGGTGTACGCGCAACGACACGCTCAAAATTTGACGTATTTGACTCTAAAAGATCGATGTGCAAATGGGTTAAAACTAAAGATTGCGTGCTTCTTGGTTTCTTTTCCTCTTTTATTCATTTTTGCAGTCTCTGTCGGCACAACTGCGGCTCGTTGAGATTAATGTCGCTTGGAAAAAAAGGTTTTACAAATATTTTTGCATTGTCACGTTTTAAAAGTATAAATGTTTTAAAAATGAAGTAATAATTTCGTAAAGAAAAATTTAAAAAAAAAATTAAAAAAGTACCTATACATATATAAGGTATACTGTACATTTAATATTTTAAGGATAGAAATAAAACCAAATATTCGCCAATGACAATTTAAAAAGATGATCCAAAAGGAGAAAGTAATAACATTTCATTTAGAAAATGAGCAACCATAACAACACCTCCTTCTCTCTAAATTTCTCATTTCCATATTGTCAATATAATTTTACATACCAACTAAAATATAACGCTTGGACCAAGTCACTGTCACTTATTTTACGTGTGGGCGTAAACTACTGGACAAAAAAGGTGCGCGGACAAAAAATCGTTGACAAAATGTCCTGAAACCGTCTCGGATAACCATCCGCGAGTGAAAGGGTAATAAAACCCGTTCTGAGGAGTCAAGATTCTATTCGGAGGGTAAAACAATTATCGAGCTTGATGCACGGAGCATGCGCTTGGGGACTACACAAATAAAAAAAAAAGTCCTGGTGGCGGCAACAGACGATTTGACGGCGCGCTCCAACTAATTGTAAGTCGATTTGCCTTCAATTTAGATGCTAGGCAATAACTCGTACTCTCGTGGATGTTCGCCGATCTCCGGGGCGCCAGATTTTTTTTTAAATATCAAATCGATGGCAAAATTGCGAGACCGCGTACCTCCGTTTGCAGCGTTGCTGACTATACATTTTTTTTTTTTGAAAACGTAATTTCTTGAAAACTTCTGCGGCTTTTCCTCCACGCCCACAGAATATTCTGTATAAATAGCTATTAACTTGGCTCGTTCCTCCTCGAAAAAATAACGTAGGTAGCGAAAATTTTGAAACATCGCAATGAAGGTACGTGGTTTCGCACTTTGGCAGTCGAAATTATGTAGAATAAAATGCAAGTCGTTACAAAGAATGTCTCTATTTATTCTTTTTTTGCATAGGAAACTCAAGATAAAAATAGGCACGTCAGTACTTGAGGACTGACTCGTGTAAATTAGATCTTACTATAGGGACCTGTGGCCGCTACGCGGCCGCCTACCACTGGAAAAAAAACTGCACGTAAAAAATGGTAGAAGAACCATGTTCACGTTATTTCGGAGATGAATTGATTCAAATGCCGACGGGTGCACGCGAAATAAAGCGTATTTATCTCAGATTGCAACGTTATGCACCACTTTTTATGTTTTATTTTTGAGTATCGTCTTTAAAAAAGCCACACACAGTTTTTCTGTAGAGTTTTCTTGCAGTTTCCTAAATGATCTCAAATACAAGCATCGAAAATTTCGACGCGATATTTTCGTTCTTTCTATTTACTTTTTATGTAACCAAAAAAAAATTAAAAATTATTAGAGTTTCTGAATCGTTACACTGAGGATATAAATTTCCCCTTTGGTTATGGCAAAAACCGGAGCAGATGAATGACGCGTAGTCCTAGTTTAGCGGCGATTTTAGCGTCGCGTCGCTCAAGCCCGGGAAGGGAACTCTGTCGAGTGTAGACAGAGTCATCTTCACAGTGCGATGTGCCTTCAATCCAGCTGGCAGCAATGTATCATACCCGTAGTCTCATAGTTGTCGTAAATAACTCTCGCAATGCGTTTGGTGCAATGCGTGAAGTATTCATGTAGTCTTGCAGGCGCTGATATGAGTATGACGCCGACCGCACCGTGTTCGGCGTGATTATTCAAACTCGTGTTAGGATAATCGCAGCATCGAATGATGGGGCTTTAAGCCCATGATGTGTTTCGACGTCGTATGAGCATTCCAACGTCGCCTCGTTTCTCCCGATAAAATAGTTTTTTCTGAGAAAAGTTAGGAAAGCTCTCAGAGTTCGCTTTTTTAGATCGAATGGACCATTTAACAAGGTACGAATTTGAGTACCTACTCTGTTACTCGACCCTCCACTAGAATTTCACGTAGAACACGGTTGGCGGAACGAAAACTGCTGATATCAACTTCTAGCTAAGGTACTAACGTTTTTATTGTACATTGCTTACGGTAACTTAGAATTGCCCGGTCACAAGAAAAACAAAACCCTACGCTTGAAGGACGCTTGAAGAAAATCCACAAACAACCTCAAAAGAAAATATCTACGGTGAAACTACATACCAGACCATTTATTTTGGATTGTGACGTTCCAGACTTCCTGCCATTTTGTAATTTTTTACCTAGAGAACTACTCAACGTAAACTTTTGAGAGCTTCCGTGGTTTTTCTTCTTTGTGAGAAGATAACTTCATCTCCGTCAAAATAAAGTAAAATGGAAACGGAGATTTTTATACACCGCAAACAAGATACGCAGCTAGTCGTCTGGTAGTTTCACCGTCGATATGCAATCGCTCTTGAATGAGTGAATAACTTTTCGATCAAAAACATTTCTTAATTAAACATGTTGCAGTTAGCAGTTAATATAATGAGGACAATGATAACAAGAAAGTCAAAGCCAAATAACTGCATTTTTATACAAAAATGAACCATTGTTACACTAACTTTGTACATGTACACTTCACCATAATATTGTATTTGCAATATTTATACCGCTGAGGATGATCTTCTGTGATCGAAAAGCTTCAGGTAAAACAGGGCCGGATTAAGGGGGTGGCTACATGGGCCTCGGCCCATGGCGGCAAATTTAGGGGGCGGCAAGTTTTGCAATTTTTTTTAAATGTAGGTAAAAAAACGGATTCAGAAAAAAAAATACAAACGAGAAAAGGCGACAAAATATTTCATTTCCTGAGAGTATAGTAATTTCTAATTTTGTCGTCGTTCATTGATACAAGAGACAGCACCTTCAATTAGTCGAGTTAAAAGAGAAACCAAACACGCAATTTGGCCTGGAATGGCGCGGCGCAGAGTTGTCTCTGGCAATGATGACGAGGACTTGAGATGAAAAGGAGAAGCCCTCGGCGCGGCGATCGGCATGAAACGCATATTAGCGCCTACAAGACTGCATGAATACTCCACGGATTGCGTCAAACACCGTGCGGCCAGCAGCGGTCGTCGTGAAACGCATAGCACCTACAAGACTGTAGGAATACTTCACGCATTGCGCCAAAGACAGTGCAGTCAGCGCGGCGCGGTAGCGGAACTTAAAATTATTACACCACATTTATGTTTGTTCTTTCATAATTTTTTCGTTCATTCCTCATAAATGGAAGGCCTTGTCTACACAGAGATAGGTTTACGGAACCTAACTTTCCCGCAAAGTTCTGTGAACTTTTGCTGGTAGTGTTGATAGGACCTTCGCAAAAAATGTGACCAACATTAGTAAACACGTCTTATGCACCCCTTTTCCACCGACACGTTCACTTGATGGTTTTTATTGATGTTTCAAAACGAATGAGAAGGGGGCGGCAAAATACAGGCGGCCCATGGGCGGCAAGGAGGTAAATCCAGCCCTGAGGTAAAATGTAACAGTGGTTCATTTTCATATAAAAAATGCAGTTATTTGGCTTTAACTTTCTTGTTATTATTGTTCTCAAAAGCATTTCCGTTATATAAGCAAGCCCTTTAAGTCGCTGTATCGAAGACTGAAGTTAGTTAACACCGCGACTTTCCCACGATCAATCTGATGCGGTGAATTGGTTTATCCCGTGGTCTCGATTCCTTGCTCCTCTGAAGTAAAGGCATATCTCTATTTCCACATGAGCCCAAGGAAGCATGGGGTTGAATGGACGGCACGGCTCGATTCGAAGTCGAGATACGCTCTCAAGTCAGAGGAGTGACGAATCAGATACGAATGGGAATCCCCGACAGCGACAAAAAACCGCAAGCTCAACTTATGATCAGTTGTCAACGCTTCTCCCTCAACAGGTCTTCATATCGAATCAGTCCTTCCCAGCGGTAACATTTCACTCTACTCCATTTTCCTCTCTTCAACTTTAAAATTGACCAGTGAATACATATCATTTGAGCATGAACGTTTTACAAATTAAATATTTCGTTGGCAAATTTATAAATAATTAATTGAAGTTTCAAGTGATTTACAAGCGTAAAAGTATCAAATGTCACTCCGATAAGGCCTTTGTGTTGGGTGCGCATCTGAGCTAACGAAAAGGTAAACATTTTGTTCATGGTAGCCCATATTTTGGAAGTTATGAGTTCAATTTGCAGGATATTTTAATAATTGATGTAGGCTTTTATCAACATTGATTACTGAAAGACTGGTAATTGTAAACTCTGATTTCTTTCGTATAGGTATATTGATTAATTAAATTAAAGAGATGGAGAACAATTTTAAATGATACAACGTGACCCTAGCCTCCAATACAGCATTATCATTTTCTTTCTGATTTGCAGTATCGTTTACCTATCAATCACCATGCTAACTACACTCTCGTTACAGTAATCAGTAATGAAGCCGGGCTTGTTTTTTGATGAAGCTAATTAACAAATCGAACAATGAACAGAGAAAATGTGGCCGACAGTGAGACAAGTACAGATTATTGACTCAAGAAAAAAACGGCCAAGCTTTGGAAAAAGCAGTTAATATCCGCGTAATACATGTATTAGAGATTTATCACTTCGTTAGGAAAGATAAATAAATTTTTGCAAAAGGGGGTGGGGGATTGCGGTTAGGGCACCGTGCATATTTCCAAATGAGAATTTAGAAGCCACTTAGGCGGGCGTCAACAGAGGGTATCCCAACACCCTGTAACGAGGCAAATCCCGTTTCTTCAGAGGCACATACGTCCTTCTGGAATAAGATAAGCCAACGTTACTGTAGTTGCCGGAATGAGCTCGCCGGGATCCTGGATTCGGGCGCCAATTTTAAAAATGAATGAGTTTGAAAGAGGGGAAGAATGATCAAACTCTTGTATCTCAAATTTACAAAAAGAATGTCCGTTTATTAGCTAAATTTGTGAGGATCCTACTCAACTCAAAATAATTTAGCCGAAATGCCACTCACTAACGTGCACCTCAAGGCTTATACGTTAGGTAATATTTTACAATCGATGATAAAATCCTAAAAATGAAATCAAAATAAAACGGAAGCCGAAATGCTACTCACTAACGTGCACCTCTAGGCTTATGCGTTAGGAAATATTTTACAAATGACGATAAAATCCTGGAAATGAAATCAAAATAAAAGGAAAGCCGAAATGCTACTCACTAACGTGCACCTCTAGGCTTATACGTTAGGAAATATTTTACAAATGCAATTAAAATAAAAGGGAAGCCGAAATGCTACTCACTAACGTGCACCTCTAGGCTTTAGATTCCAGGAGTACAGGATACAGGATACAGGATCGAAGTGAGAGGGGAGGAAGAGTGAAACTGGGCGAGATGCGACTCACTAACGTGCACCTCAGCTCAGGAGAAGGAAAAAGAGGAAATTGAAGTGGACAGTTCGCTCGGCGAGATGCGACTCACTAACGTGCACCTCAGCCGAAAAGATGTAGAATAGAAGAGAGAGGAGAGAGGAGGATCTAGGATGTAGGATCACATTTTGACTCATAAGCCCACCAAATCGCTTCCAAGTTCTTGGAACGCGATCTTCACATTTGTACTGAAAATTTTGATACATGAAATTTAAAGTTTGACCTGATATTTACATCGTTCAGCTTGGGAAAATTTTGCCCACGCGTTCAAATATTTAAAATTTGGAAAAATGCCCTTTTTCATAGTAAAACGTACAATTTTGGAAAGTTCAAAAACAGGGAATTTGTGTATGTGTGTGTGAGCTATGACAAGAGAGGAGAGGCAATTTGTTTTTTGAATTTTATTTTCCGGCATCAGCTGATCGCGCCGGGCGCCGCTCGGTCTCGGCCCGACTCCGCCGCCGCGCTCTGCATGACTCACTCCTTCCTTCGCGTGAAACAAACAGCTGTTCATTTTTAAAAAAAAAACTTAAAACGGAGAATTTGATTCTTCGTTACACACCCCTCCCCCTTTCAAAAAAAAAACTCGAATTTGAAATTTTTTAATAGCGCGATCTGTCAACTTGAAAACTTTAAAATATTTAAAACTTTCAAAATCACTTAGGAACGGCTTGAAAAATGCAAAAAGTTCTTGTTGATTCGGCGTATTTTTCATGAAATTTTAGTCAAAACCTCATTAGAATGTAGAAATCCCGCTTTCATAGTAGAGTAGCTTCTTCCTGTTTTTTCAAAATCCATTATTGAAAGGAGTGCATGTTTGCACAGATCTGAACTTATGAACATTTTTCTTCCAATTTTTTGGATAATTTTGCTTGCAATTTCTCTTTAAGTTCCTGAAAATATCAAGGAAAAATATTCATATTTTCTCCAAAAGTGAACACTTTCCGGGAGGAAATTTTGCAACTCTCGACTGCCTACGTGGAGAAGGGCTCAGAAAATTTTGGCAAAGCAGCGCAAGTTTACGCTACTTTCAGGTTCAAAGTTACTTAATCGCACAGAGTAAAAATTTCAAAATTGAACGTATTGAAGTAACCGCCAGACTTCTGAAATTAAAAAAAAAAAAAAAAAAAAAAAAAAAAAAAAAAAAAAAAAACATAAAAAATTGACGCCACTAGACGCATCCAAGCCCCATTCTTTCCAAAAGAACCAAATCAGTACTACGGATTACACGAGCTTAAGACGTGGGTCTGCAAATCCATCCTAAAAAAGATTCAGACAAGAACCTGAAAAAAGAAGAGAGAACGAGTATCGCCACAGCCAGAGACAGGAAAGGCGTATTCGGGCCTCTTTCTTAACTCCCGAATCTGAGCGATACCTCATTGACAGCATACATACAGTAGAGCATTGAGAGCTCACGCTTCGCGTCATCGCGCCTTCAATTTTTCAGATGCAGCACGGACGTCCATCAAGTACGAATAGTTGTATCTCTGCGCCGTCGTTAAGGCGCATACTTTCCCTCCTTGTATTTTCATATTGTGTTTCTTACCGTTTGTCTTATTCGTAATGGTGCTTCAAGCACACGTGAGTAACACAGCCGAAAGTAAGAGAAATGTGTTCGGGCCTCTTTTTTAACTTTTCTCCCAAATTTGAGCGACACCTCATTGACAGCATATAGCAGAGCATTGAGAGTTCACGCTGCGCGTCATCGCGCCTTCAATTTTTCAGATGCAACACGGACGTCCATCAAGTACGAATAGTTGTATCTCTGCGCCGTCGTATCAGCACGTATTCGGGGGTTGAAAAAGAGCCTGCATGTCAACAAAAAGGATAAATTTTCACATAAAGGTGTTTGCGCTTCAAAAAGTAGTTCTTGGACCTCTTTCCACCTTTGTCATGCGTTATAGCACCTTTTTCTTACTGCTATCTCTCTCTTCTTCCGTTTATGTAAGAAATTTTCCGCATATATTTTTGGTCGTAATTTTGTTTCTCTTCTTATTTTGCTATCAGTCTGAGGGGCGCGTTTTTGGCGCGCCAAGAGGGCGTATCTGCCAACGGCAGATTGGCCTTATGGCCAGTCGGAGCCTGAAACTACCTACTATTTCTGACTCAATTTAGAAACAACGCCTGTGCCATTTGCTTCCCTATGCAGATACATGCTATTATGGACGACCCAGAAATATCCTTTCCCCATTGCAAAATGTAGTATATGGACCTTGTTCAGCAGAAAGAAACCAAGCCACATCAGTTATTGCAAACTTTGACTGGACAATTAATTTTTTACCAGAGAACGTTCGTGTGGGTTCCTTTGACAATTTTAAGGAATTTGCTTCATACTATGCAGAAAATTCACTGTTTGCACAAGAATCCGCAACACATTTTGCGTGTAAAAAATGAAGTTACCCAATTAAATTTGGCAATAACTGATGTGGTTTGATTCCTTTCTGCTCAATGCAGTCCATTTATAGTATGATCAGACTGCAGGTCACGACAGATTTATTTCATTTGTTCCAGCTAATCCACAACAGTCCAGGCCGGGGGACGCAAAACAACGAAAGAGACCACAATGCATCTTCACCTCTTGCTACCTACTGTAGCACTGGTATTCCTCTGCAGAGTCTCAAACATCACGGCCAACGTCGAGAAATCGGAATCTGCAATCCGCCCCGAAATCCACCAAAGATCAATCAGATCCACCGATGCCGACCTCGCTCAACTGCGCGCGTTAAAAGAGCGCGCTTCATCGGGAGGACACAAATGCGCCAGACGCATCGTAGGTTACGTAACGCAGTGGTCATTGCACCCATTCACCATAAAACAATCGCTTGGCCTCACAAACGCCATCTTCGCTTTCGTCCACATGGACCCGAGCGGCCGACTTTCCCTATCATCCGACCAAACATCAAAAGATCGTCTCAACGACCTCTTCGTCGCCAGGAAAGCCCACTCGGATCAAGGACTCAACTTTAAGGTCTCCTTCGCCATCGGCGGAGGTGAGAACTCCCAGCACTTCTCCCCGGTCTTATCCAGCGACGGAGGTCGCAACCTCCTCGTCAACGAGATCGCCCGGATCCTGACCCAACACCGATTCGACGGCGTCGACGTAGACTGGGAGTTTCCTGTCGTCGGAATCGCCTCCAAGGGCAAACCCGAAGACAGAGCTAACTACGTCACGTTCCTGCGCGATCTTCGAGCCAAGCTCGGGCCGAACCGGTTGATCTCCATCGCCGCCGCGTCCGACCAGTACGCGGTCGCCGGGTACGACGTTCGGAACCTGTTGCGCCACGTCGATTGGATCGGCGTCATGTCCTACGACTTCTTCGGCGCCTGGAACTCCGAGCAGGGCTCCTTCGTCGGCCCGAACGCCCCGCTCAGGCACGCCGGCCCGAGCGGCTACTCCCGCAAGCAGAACGTCGACTGGGCCGTCAAGCACTACGTCTGCAGCGGGCAGGACCCTAGCAAGATCGTGATGGGTGTCCCGTTTTACGGTCATTTCTGGTACCGGACATCGCCGAGTAAAAATGCTGACTACCCTTTGTTCCGCGTAGCGGAACGACTCAACAACGGAAGCTATGGGGGCTCCGCCTCTTACCGGGAGCTGCTGAAGGAATGGCACCTCCTGGAGAATCAAGCTTTTGAGAAGAGATGGGACAACCGCTCTAGCACCCCTTGGGCCATCAACGGGAAACTTGTCTTGAGTTACGAGGACGAACGCTCGATACGCGAGAAGATCAAATACGCGAATGAGTATAATCTAGGGGGTGTTATGATTTGGTCGGTGGACCAGGACAGCGCGGATTCATCTCTCCTGGACACCGTCTTCGAAACCGGGTGCAGCGTTGGCGCGGGCGGTGGGAGGTACAAGTGCAACCCGCTCGACGGCGAGAAGCGGTGGTGGACCTGGGACGAAGACAAGAAGAACGCGGGTATGTGCGGGAAGACGGCGCCGCTCTACAAGGGTTTCTACCCGGTCTGCGACCCGGAGGCACCGGGGCTTTCGTGCTGCGGCCCGCACGGATACTGCGGGGGCAGCGAGGAGTTCTGCGCCTGCGAGGGCTGCGTCGACTACGCGGCGCACCCGGAGAAACTGGTCGAGGAACCGGTGAAGCCGACGGGGCCGGTGAGGTGGCACGTCGGGTACGAGATCGCGGCGGTCGATCAACCGCGGTGCGGGCCGAAGGCCCCGAAATTGCCGGACGGTACGGTGCCGATCTGTAATCCGGACAGTAGGAGCTCTTGCTGTTCCGCGGCTGGGTTTTGCGGTTCCGGGGATGCGTACTGCAAGTGCGATGGCTGTGTGAGCTACGCGAAACCGGGGCCACTTGGTGAGAAGCTGTGGTACACGTGGGATGACGGAGTCCTCGCGGCTCGGTGCGGTCCTTCGGTCCCGAGGATCAACGGTCGAATCCCGATTTGTAATCCCAATGACCCCGGCTATCATTGTTGTTCTTCGGCTGGCTACTGCGGCGCTTCGCCTGAACACTGTGCTTGTGAAGGATGCGTTGACTACACGAAAAGACGTTAAAGTAGAATGTGTGATTAATCTTTTATCTGTGATAATAATTCTTACTAGGGGGCTATGCCCCCTGGCCGCTACGCGGCCCAACCCCCTGAAGGCGCTCCGCGCCATCAATGGGCCGCTTCGCGGCCCTATTTTTACCCTCCTATCGGTGTTAGTTTTATTTTTCCCCAAAAAAATTACGATATGAGGTATACTTTACTTTTAGAATGAAATAATTTTTGGTTTTGATGAATAAAGAAAGTCTTTTTTTTGAAGTCTAAAGGACGCGTTTTGGAATGACTGATTGATGAAATATTGCAGTAAAACAACGAACATTGATAATCAGGTAATAATTAAGTATATCGGGAGACGGGGATCGAACCCACACCTTGATCTAAATAGACGCTTCCGACGTCTTTGACGACTCAGCCACCGCTCGTCTTGAGAAAAACGGTGCGAATATTGTGTAGATAAGTGTAGAGCTGATGCGCAGGCTACACAGCTACTGCGCAACCTCCTCGACCACTGCGCATCCTCCCGCGCATAGCGGTAGCAGTCTCGGAGCATTCTGAAAATTCACTCACTTTTATAACGTGATTGTAAAAAAACCTGGGTCCTATTTCCAAAATCTGAATAGAGCGGGCTCATCTAGGGCCAATTACCCGTCGATTACCGCAAAAAACTTGGAAATCGGCCCGGTAGAACGCTCAAACGAACTATGACAAAAAGTATAAATTTACATTGTTTAAATGGGAGAATTCGCAACTTTACCACTTAATATAAAAAAACCTGGGCTATATTTTGAAAATCTGAAAAGAATTGGCTTATCTAGAGACAACTGCCCGTCGATGGCCGCAAAAATCATGAAAATCGGCCCGGTAGAACGCTGGAACTAAGCGTCACCAGTTTCGCAAAATTAGGAGGTCTTGGAGCTTATAGTATAGAAGTTTCATGGAGAGATGGTGATTTTGCCACCAAGTTTTAAATTCAGCATACAATTAAAATGGGGCTGTAGGCAAGGTATGAATTCAGGCGATGAAACCTGGTGGTAATCTCACTTTTTGATATCACCAAATGGGGATCTAGGTATTTTGATTTTTGAAAATGTTTATAATTTTTGTTTCCTGGTCGAGAAGAGGGTCAAAACCACCCCGAAACGGCCCAGGCTTCGTGTTTTGTTGTTTTCTAGCCTGCGTGGTCAGTCATTTTCTTGTGTTTTTTAGTCGAATTATTCTGGCTATTTTTGTGTATTTCAGTTCAGAACTGAGTTATGTGTTTCTTGTGTGTTCCGTACTTTCTGTTGCGTTGATATTTTTATTTTTACGAATAAAGTTGTATATATTAAGTTCAAGAGGCTACAAAACTTTTTTCTATTTTTTTTTCTTTCTTTCTTTTTTTTTTGAAAAAAATCCCAACTCCCTGATGACTTGTGGGAGGACCAAGTTTTGTGGCGGTTAGGCATTGCAGCGCGCCGGAGAGTGCTGCGAGAGCGACTCTTATGTATGTACAAAAATGCAACAAAATAACATCAGTTTTTGATGCATTACATACAATATCTGAAAAATTCAAGTTATTTCGTGCTCAAATAAGCTAAATATAGACAATTCACACGAGTATTAAGTAACACCATCCAAGACTTTCTAAGAGCCGGATCAAGGGGGTGGCCACATGGGCCGCGCCTCATGGCGGCAAATCTATAGGGGGCGGCAAATCTATAGGGGGCGGCAAATTTTGCAATTTTTTTAAATGTAGTTATAAAAAAAATCGTATTTAGAAAGAAAAATTTCAAATGAGAGAAGGCGTCATTATCTCTCATTTCCTGAGAGTATAATTATTTCTAATTTTGTCGTCTTTCAGCGATACAATTAAGAGACAGCACCTTTAATTATTCAGGTTAAGAGAGAAACCAAATAGTTAAAACACGCAATTTGGCCCGGAACGGTGCGACTTAGAGAGAAATGATGAAAAGGACTTGAGATGAAACAGAGAAGCCCTCGGCGCGGCGATCGGTGTGTAACACATATTAGCGCCTACAAGACTGCACGAATACTTCACGCATTGCATCAAACAGAGTGCGGTCATTGCGGTCAGCGTAAAACGGATAGCGCCTACAAGACTGCGTGAATACTTCACGCATTGCGTCAATCACAGTGCGTTCGGCAGCGCAGCGGTCGGCGTGAAACTCGCAGCGCCTACAAGACTGTCGGAATACTTCACTTCACGCATTGCGCCAAACACGGTGCGGTCAGCGCGGCGCGGCGTCGGAAGTTAAAATCATTAATCCACATTTATGTTCGTTCTTTCATAATTTTTTCGTTCATTTAAATATTTCATTTTTTCGTTCTTATAAATGGAAGGCCTTGTCCACGCAGAGATAGGTTTACGAAACTTAACTTTTGCACAAAGTTCCGTGAACTTTTGCTAGTAGTGTTGACAGGGCTCTCGCAAAAAATGTGTCCAACACGAGTAAACGCGTCTTATGCACTCCTCCCCCACTGGCACGTTCATTTGATGGTTTTTATTGATGTTTCAAAACGAATGAGAAGGGGTCAGAAAAATACTGGCGGCCCATGGGCCGCAAGTAGGTAAATCCGGCCCTGGATTTTCCATTCCTAATTGGATTGCATTTTGCAAAAAGGAACCACTAGCATTGCAATGATGCTAAGATTACGCAACTTCATCCTTTGCAATAAAATTGCGGAAATTGTGAAAAACTATGAAATTTAGATGGTAATTTTTGTCTTAAATTTACAGTTTTTAGCGAGTAAAATAGAAACTATTAATGGATAATCGGGTTTTTCCTCCAAGACAAAAGAAGTTGCACAATCTTAGCAACATTGCAATGCTAGTGGTTCCTTTATGCAAAAAGCAATCCAATTGAAGCACTGGGCGCAGAAAGAACGCGTCTTAGTTGCGGTGTCCCAGAATTTACGGCATACGTTTGATCCATTGTGATCGACGCAAATATCTTTGTATGCAATCAGTCAAAACTTTTCTGAATATTCTTCATCACTTCGCAACGCTCTTAACTAGAACTCCGGAAGATTTACGCACTGTGTCGAATCAACCAAACAATTGTACAAACTGATTGCGGTGGACGCACGGGTCGTGAGACAGTACGTTGGAGTTTTTTGCTAACGTGCGTTAAATTTCAGCATAAAGCTGAACATCTCAATACAGAGGGAAAAGCTCAAATGAGCTCAATTTTCCCTCGAAGAGATATCGACGGTGTATGTCGGCAATCACATACCTCCGCCTCTATGTTATTTTTTTAAAAGAGAACCAATTGACATCATTCCTTGAAGTTTTTGCAGAATTTTCTTTGCACAGAGAAGAAAAATCACGGCAGGTTTGAAGAATTGCCGTTGAGTAGTTTTTCGTTTAAAAAATAAACTATGACAGGAAGTCTGCGACGTCGCAAACCGAGTTACGTGATTGCCGACTTACACTGTCGATATGCTGTTTGGTGCATCACTAGTTACGTCCATTCAGGAAGGCAACTGCAATACAAAATTCTGAGATGTACACTGAAAAAAATTCTCGGCGTTTTTACCAAGGTCCGTTGGTGCCTTTACCATCTCACTATTTTTACCAATTATTGATAATTTCCCCAAGACAGACTGGTAAGCTGACCTAGAAACCGGTATTTTTACTGTTTTTTCAGGTAGGAATATCACTTTCATTGGTGATAATCAATTCCCGGTAACTTTGCTATTTTATCTCGGTAGCTCTACCACAGTCGATAAAAAATATTGGCGTTTTTACCAAGGTCCAGTAAAATTACCGAGAAAGTTCAATAATTTTACCGAGATTTCTTGGTAAAATTACCAATTCCATAAATGGTAATTTTACCAAGAAAAAACTGGGATCAAATAGAGCCCTGAATCTTGGTAATTTTACCGTTTTCTTGGTAAATACACCGAGATTTTTTTCAGTGTAGGTACAGAATTCTTAGATGTATACTCCATACACACCAGACCCCCCCCCCCCCCCGTTTGGAGTCTCTGGATCCGTCTATGCGTTCATTTATTTATCCAATGGTTTCTCTCGTTTAAAATTCCACATTTTTAGTGTTATGGCAACCGCGCATAGTTTGACCTAGGCCTAGTGGGAGAGGGAAAGCGGCGCGGCATCGGTCGGCATCTTGGATGCACCGAGACATGATTGAACCCGGTTTCGGTACTCGATATAGAAGTTCGAGGGGCCCGGGGGGCGGGGGGCTCTTGAACGCGCAACAAGCAGCAAACGCGAGCTCTCGAGTTCAGTGTAATGAAAGTTTCCGGTCGACGCTGACCGCAGGTTACTGGTCTCCCGACTCGCACCCGTACGCGTGTACGTTTTTTTTGTCCCGGTCCACTTTCGTCGCGAAATTGACGTTGACTTTGTGGAGCAGTGCGAAAAAAAGGAGTTGCGGGCGAAAGCGTTTTCGGCGAAAGTGCGAGCTTCCGACAGTTCCCGGCTCCTCCCGCTGTTGAATCGGCGTTTTTCTGCTCGTGCGATTTGAGCCAGGTAAGGTGTGAAGGTGTCGACGATGGATATACACTGAAAAAAAAAAAGATTGGCAGAATTCACTATTCCTTCCTGCTGTATTTCACACAACGTGAATTCAGAGTTATTCTGCGAGAGAAAAGGTAAACGTTACTATATACTGGCACAGGTAACCATTCCTCTGGCAGAATTGACTTTAAATTCACGCTGTGTAAAATACAGCGTGCACTGGAAAAAAAACACATTGGATCTAGAGTCCAGACTCTTAAAAACATCGACAAGAAAAAATACTCTTCATTCAATCAGAATCTAGCTTAAATCAAGAAGCAGGCCTCTTAATTTAAGCGGATTTCGTTTTGATTCAAGCAAAAATCCGATTGAATCAAAATTTTTTTTTCTTGTCAATGTTTTCAAGAGTCTGGACTCTAGATCCAATGAGTTTTTTTTTCCAGTGTAGAAAATACTATTCCTTCCCGCTGTATTTCACACAGCGTGAATTCAGAGTTATTCGGCCATAAAAAAGGTAAACGTTACTATATACTGATACAGGTAACCATTCTGCCGTGCTAAGGAAGAACGCCGTATGAACATTTAAGAGCTGCCAAATTTCCTTCGATAAAATGTTTATAATACGGTAGGTTATGAATATTTTTCCTTGAAATTTTCAGGAACTTTAGGTAAAATCGCAAACAAAATTATCTGAAAAATTGGAAGGAAAATATTCATGAGTTTACCCAGGAAATTCGTGTTATATCAAAGGAAATTTTGCAACGCCTGAAGGTTCATACGGCGTTTTTCCTTAGCACGGCAGTATTCCTCTGGCGGAATCGACTTTAAATTCACGCTGTGTAAAATACAGCGTGAAGGAATAGTAAATTCTACCAATCTTTTTTTTTCAGTGTATTAAGGGTTTGAAAGACAAAAAGCCTGGGTGCGACAGTTATTGAAAAGAATGAGTCATTTGTGATTTCAATTAAAATCAATCTTGAAGGATATACTGTGAAAAATTCACCATTCAAATCTAATTTTTAGGTATCAAGAAGTCAGTTTGAACATTCTTTCAGACATAAGGCTCCATCGTGTGATTTTGAAATTTTAAACACGTATTTCTTGAAGTAGCAAAAACTGCACTTGTGCTCCTTGTCCTCCAAGCCACTTTATTTATGTTGCAGGCTGATGCTCATATTTTTTATAAATACCTGGTCAGATAGTCAAATTTCTTTAAGACCTACGTAATTTTGAATATTTTTTCAAAACGATATCTGAAGTTTTCATAATTTGACAAGAAAAATTGATTCAAATGTCGGTGTCTCTAAGGTTGGGCTACGTCTTGGGCTTGAAATTGTTTTACCTCTGATTTACCGTCAAACTTGTAACTGATCCGTTCTTTATGAAACACCAAGAACTTTTTTTAAAATAAATGTTCATTCAGGCTTAAAAAGTTCTGAAAAATATCATGGACATTTGAAAGAAGTTTTTTCATTGAAGATGTTTAACTACATATTTGGATAATTTTCTATTCCAAAATCAGGAGAAATCTTAGCTTCGTAATTTAAGCTAGAATGGTTCACTAACTGCCCACTCATTTGGTATGAATGATGCCAGATTCGGCTGTTTAGCCTGTGACATTTACATGATAAGAATGCTGTCGTCCAAAACAACGTTCTGTATTTTCAATTTTTTCGTAGAAAGTCAGTCTTATAACAGGATAAGTACATGAATCATCAATATTTTTCGCATGACCAACTAAAAACTCACAAATTTTGCCACTAGTTAAACGCAAAATCGCCACATTTTGGACGGACATGTCGCAGTCATATATCCATGTAAGAATAGAGTTTGTAATGACATTTTTGAAATGAACTTACGTTTTGTTCGTCTTGGGAACGACAAAACTTTTTTAAGCATTGAATGTTACTTGAGGGGTTTGGAGGACAAGGCGCATAAGTGCAGGTTTTGAAAAAATGGAGGTATCAATAATTCAAGTAAAACTAGTCTTAATGCATATTTTGTGAAAAATTCGCCCCTAAATTCTACCCTTTAAACACTTGTCAGTTCGAACTTATTTTCCGCCATTAGGCTCCATATAATTTCTAAACTTCAAACACGAATTTCTCGAAATAGCAAAAACTGCACCTTGTCCTCTAAGCTCCTCATTCCATTTTTTTTTTTTTTTTTTTCTCCGAGGAAGAAAAGGAAGGTGATAGGACAAGTAGAGGAATTGTGCTGATTTTTCTATGCGTGTGTGTAAAGCGCACTGGTAGAAAAATGTAAAACTCAGACGGTAAATTACGCATTAAACACTCTTGCCCCTCTTGCCATCACATATTTCGTCGTCCCGATTTTCTTCGTTCATGTCTCACTCTTCCTCACAAAATGCATGAATCAAACCAATCCCAAACGTGATAAATGATAAGTGGGAGGAATCTCGGTACAGTTCACGCCGAGTTCAAATAATTTATCTCCAATTCACGTTCGATAAAGTATTTCAAGAGGAATAAAAATACGTAAAATCTCCTCATGCGGCAAACTTGAGACCTCATCGAAGCTGCTCTTGAGGACTACTTCAATTACGATGCAGAGAGGTGCCGTTGAAAACCTCTCAGCACGAAGACGTTTAAAAGAGGATTTTAAAATATCTTAATTAACCATAAACTATTTCGGTGTACTATTGGATCTGTTTATCTGACCGTGCCATTATACCAAGTTTCAAATAAATGGGCGTACATCTGGATTCTATAGGTGAAGAATATTACAAAGATCCAATTACCTTCTGTACTTAAGATTTATTCAAACATCTAGACGCACCGAAAAAAGAAATTCCATGCGGGAAAAATTAGGGGAGACATTGAGTGATATTGTCTAAATCGTATGTGCCGATTGCGTGATTCAATGTACTTGATTGTTAAAAATCTCATGGTATTATCTTTAAGTAACTTCCGCATTTTACCGTTAAACCTCTTCATGAAATAACGTATAGGCACCTATGGGAAGGACAGTTCAGAGATAACTGCATCGAGTACATTAGAATCCATAATGAAATGGACCACATTTTGCAATTAGGAACTACATTTCTGGCTGCGTTTAGAATAACGTACGTACCATTGGTTTCACTATGCATATACGTGTTTTTATCGATGAGCCAGAAATTGTAGTTCCGAATTGTCAAATGTAATCCAAATGATAGCATGTTTAACGGATGGGATGGACTAGTTTTGACCGCTATCGTTTTTCTGGTGCAGACTCTATTAACGTGAACATCTCATTATTTCTGTCTTTTGGTTACCTAGTAAACGCGAATACAATCGTTTTTATCTTCAACACTTGTTAAAGCTCACTAAGTTTCGTGGTGAATGGAGCTACGTAATATTATACTTCAGCCGAAGCTCATTTTACGAGCCTAGAAAAAAACTCTGGGCCTGGCCGCTTCGATGCACTCGGGGCAAGTATGTTTAATCAGTGAATAAATACATTGCGGTCTCGACGGACAGTCAAGGACTTTCACGCATTGTCATCATGATTATGCATTTACACCTCTAAGTGCTCGTTGAAGTCTATCTGATCAAAGCGTTTGATAAAGAGCTTTTCCTCTCAGTAGCCTTGAACACATAGTTGCTGAGAGGACCCGTTTTTCTCGAAGAACAACCTGCGGTGTTAAATTTATGTGCGTGTCGCAGGCAATCTGCAATCGCCAGCACTTTGCAAGCTACACGTAATAAGTATAAAATCATGAAACTTAGAAATAAAGAAAGAAGGAGAGTAATTAATCTGGTTTAATTTTAAATAAATTGATACGATATTCCCTTCGCAAATGCAAAGGCCCTGACACACTAGCGCGAGCGTGCGATGAAATCAGTGACATCAGTTGGGTTTAGGTCGAACAGGCAACTAAACGAACTGCTCGACAATGCGTGAGGTATCACAAACAAATGAAGGCGTCCTAAGCTGAGAGCTTCTGATATCGCTGCGCATTTTTGAAATTCGTCGAAATAACGCCAAAACCGCATGCCAATTGCCGACAATTGCTAATTGCTTGCGACATGTGTAGCTTCTTTCGTCTCGTTGGGAAAGCTGAAAGTTTGAAGAGACTTTCAGTTTTACACGTAATATTTATTGTGATTTTAGATGCACATAATAATAAAAATGAGCGTGTTTAAGTAACTTGATAACATTCCAGAGTGCTTGATGTCTTCCTAGATGACTTTGTCGATTTTTCGAGGTAAAAAAATATGTGGATGATTCCGTGGATTCAACTGGTAGTCCAACAGTAAAATCCGTTGATATTTGAGGGGCTTGGAGGACAAGGGGCAAAAGTGCAGTTTTTGAAAAAATCGAAGCGTTAATTATTTCAAATTAAATTAGTCTAAATGCACATTCTGCGAAAAATTTGCTCCAAAATTCCAATTTTTAAGCATCAAAAATCAGTTCGAACTTACTTTCCGTCTTAAGGATCCATGTAATGTCGAAACTTTAAACACGTCTAATATCGTTTTCTGGTCAATTTTCTCTCTCATTTCTATCAATCATCACTCTTGGTCCCTTACTTTCATCAAAATTTTCTGATACATTTTTGATAATATCTCCAAAAGTGAAAGGAATGAGTCGAACATGTGAACTACTTGGTCAGTCTTAAGCTTTCCTACTTTGCGGTAATTTTCGTAACCGCGAGAGAAGATGAGTTCCCCAGGAGACTACGAGATTTGTGTTTTCAATACACCAAAATAATGAATTCAAATTTGGCGTTCGGTGAACTAATACCTAATTATGTCTAACGACTCATTGTCTCAGCGATAAACTTACATAGAGGCATAATTATAAGAGGAAGTACAGCGATGTCGGATCTTTGAGACAGAAAGAACCCCTGTGTTGTGTCTCAATAATTGAATAATAGTCATAGTGGATTCTTTCACACTGGTAATTCGCGGAGCTACAATGTGATTGAGAAGAATTTAAATTGCACTTAAGAAGACAGTCGCTTTGCTTTGAGTCTCTTACACCGTTGCCAGCACTGCGCAGCAGAAGTAATTCATTTTCATGTTCTAGGATTTGCAAAAAAGTAAAGAAGTATATACTGCCGTGCTAAGGTAAAACGCCGTACGAACCTTCAAGCGTTGCCAAATTTCCTTTGATAACACACGACTTTCCTGGGAGCCTCATGAATATTCCTTTTTCAATTTTTCAGATAATTTGGTCGCAATTTTGCCTAAAGTTCCTGAAAATTTCAAGGAAAAGAATTGCTGACTTTTCTCAGAAATAAACACTTTCACAAAGGAAATTATGGCAACTCTCGAATGTTCATACGGCGTTTTTCCTTAGCACGGCAGAATGGTTACCTGTATCAGTATATAGTAACGTTTACCTTTTTTCTGGTAAAATATAAAAGTATTAAAAGTAGGTTATGGTTTGCAGTCGCTTTGATCTTGCGATACATATTTGAGGATTTTCGAATCTCCACAGCGGAGGGGAGAAAATTATGCAAGGAAAAATTTTTTAGGGTTTAAATGCAAAATGCATCGTGAGGCGAAAGTAACTGAATGTAACCCGTAACCATAAAGACGGACATTTTTAACTATACAGGACCGAATGGTCATCCTGAGAAAATGACACGATGTATCCTCCTTTTCCGACCGGTCACAGAGGCTCCATTACTTACAGCGCCTTTAATTTTTCCAATTGTAATCCAAAAAAATTCCAAATCGTCAAAATATCGTAGTTCAAAAAACTCAAAATTCCGTGCTCCAGACCGCAGGGTCTGTTCCTGCGGCCAGTCACATCTATTTCAATGACGAATACAGCAAATTGGCAACATTGTTTTTTCTCCATTCAAACCTATGGAAATGTCATAGAGTACATAGAGTCGTAATGTAAATGGGAGAGCTGGCGCCATGTTCTGCTCGACGAATTCCGAGCCCGGTGTGCGCCGAGTTCGGGTCGCTTTTTCGATACATTTTCGATCCAAAATGGCGGTGTGGAATACGTGGTAATTCCTATCTCCTTTGTTGTTGTTGTCATCGGATGGCCGGGTACCCGTGTATCGCAAACAATCGATTATGTATCGAAAAAGTGACCCGGCGTCACACAGGAGTCTCGGAATTCGGGACATGGAAAATGCTTAAAAGTGGCGCCAGCTCTCCCACTTACATTACGACTCTATGTGCTCTATGGGAAATGCATCGATTCCTGAAGGGGCCTGGAGCTCCGACAAGAATCGATTATTTAACATACTTTGAAATGGAGGAAATCCGGCGTTGCCACATTTCTGGATCCGCCTATGCTCTATTTCCAGCGGACTCCTAATGGTATACGTTCTTTGCAGGAATGGGCGCTTGAGTGTCCACCGTTCGTCCGATTTTGAGATGGCGAGCCCCATGGAACGTGGACTAACCAGCCTTCTCCACTCGATTTTGGTCAAGCAGCAGACGCGACACGGTCTTCAAGTCCATCGCAGGAAGATCAACTCTTTGGTAGCAGCAAGGAAACACGCTTCTTGCGCTGAATCTGATGGAAGTCGTTCCCGTTTGAGCCCCATCTCCACGAGTTTGAGATATTACTCTTCAGTTGACGCGAATAATGTTGTACATTCACCTTTCCCACCGTTCGAACCAAGGAATGAAACCATACACGAGTTTCTATGGAAGGATATCGAGTCCGTCCAGCAATTCCCACTCATAGTGAGTATTATGTAAATTGATGACCCAGGGCCGTGTTTATTATCATTCTTCAATGGACAATTTGCATGCAAAGTTTTTATTGCTTCATCTGAAAGTGCTTAAGGAGCTGATATCACAGTATTTTTTAAAATTTTTTCTAATATGGTAAATAGTATAAAAATAGATGTGAAAGTGAGAAAATGCACCGCCTAGTGACCTGACGGCATTTCCCATTTAAACATACGCATTTTTGCAGATTAGATCATTTTGTCATATCCTCTCCAATAATTGTTCAATTCATGAGCCAAGTGTATCCTAGTGATAGCGTGGGGCATCCGCTCTATTACGGCTTCAACTTTGAGAGGTTTTTTGGAGTTTTGGAATTTGTTTTAGAAAAAAACCGGCGGCACTATTGAGTTCTTCGCAAACTTTTACATAGGAACCAGTAATTAAATTGCGAATTCCTGACACGTGCAAGAGCTCCATTATGGCGAATTATGTGTGAAATGTATCAGTTCAACCCGCAAAAATAGATCCTCTCAAAGGACTACGATGATTTGCGAAGATATGGGAAATAGTGTAAAAATCGATTTAAAAGTGAGAAAATGCACCGCCTGGAGACGTCACCTGGCGGCATTTCCCGTTTAAACACACGTATTCTAGCAGATTAGATCATTTTGTCATATCTTCTCCAATATTGATTCAATTCATGAACAAATGGTATCCTCGTGTTTAGTTCACACCGTAGTTTCCACTTTAAACACGAAATTCATCAAATTTCAGACACCTGCAAATTCTCTATTTACTTATTCCCTCAAGGAAAGTTCATATAGTGGACATTCTTATCGGGGAGGTTTAAAAACACCCTTAGTGCAATATCATATAAAAGACAATAAAGCTCTTGCATGTGTGGGGGATTAATGATTAATTGTCTTTTTTTTGCGAAAAATTTCGCGAGAAACACGATAGTACCAATGTTTTCCTCTGAAGTCAACTCCGAAGCTCAAAATCAGCTCTCAAAGTTGAGGCCGTAATCGAGGAGATATCCCACGCTATCCTGAGAGTCACCTCTTAGTCAGACTCTCCATGCAAAGATAGGGAGCCAACCCATTAGCAGCATTGCCTCGTTTTCAATTTTGGAGCCCCCAAACAAAGTGGCAACCCTGTGAATGTATTTGTTCCCTTTCTTTGCATGGAGAGTTTGACATGATGTAGAGATGGACTCTCAGGATAGCGTGGGGCATCCGCTCTAATACGGCTTCAACTTTGAGAGCTTTTTTGGAGTTTTGGAGTTTTTTTTAGAAAAAAATCAGTGGCACTGTTGAGTCACTCGCAAAATTGTACATAGGAATCGGTAATTAAATCGTAAATTTTTAACACGTGCAAGAGCTCCACCATGGCCAAAAATGAGTGAAACGCACCAATTCAACCCAAATAATATATCCTCTCAAAGGACTACGATGATGCGCCACTGCAAAAAGTGAGCAGCACTATGGAGAAGGCTCTATGATATTGACAAAGCCTCCAATAAACTCCTAAAATTCTGTATTTTATATTATTTTCAGTGAGACGAACTGTTCGAATTTTGAGATCGCACTTCTGTTGTCATGACACTACAGAATTCATGTACTAAATTTGACAAAGAAATTCAACATAATAAAGGCAGAATTTTTTTAGAGAAAAAATATAGCATTCGATACTGATATCGAAACCGCACTCAAATGCGAGATTTTTCCTCTGAAAAATCCCTGCCTTTAATACGTTGAATTTCTTAGTCAAATTTGGTACATGAATTCTTCATGTACCAAATGTGTAATTCTTCATGATCTCAAAATTCGAAAAAAATGACAGGTAACTGAAATTATGGAACGAATTGATGCGATATATCGCACGTCGCTCTTATACAAAAGATGGCAACCGTCGAATCACTTTAACACCAGAGTGTTCATGACAACATCCAAGAGTTGTCGCACATTTTTTTAACAACTTTTTTTCGGTATATTTGAGCATTATATTTAACTTTTTTTCCAGGTAGATGCAGAGAACGGGCGAGGTTACAGCTACGGCGGCGCTCGAGCCGTGAGTGAAAAATTTGCGGCTGCCCTCGTGAAAAGTGGCTTCAAGCCCGGAGATGTGCTCACCATCGTCTTACCGAACATGCCAGAATATCCGCTCATCGTCTTGGGAGCTCTCGAGGCTGGGCTCATTGTCTCCACCGCAAATCCGCTTTACACCGAGCGTAAGTCAACTCCACTATCAGGAAATAACACAGATATCCACAGCAAAAGCACACATGGTACTATTAAAGACATGAAGACAGAGCTCTAGAGGAAAAAAAATTTGCAAACACATGTAAACTCTCCGATTGGCTAGAAGATTGGCGGCGAGATCGGGACTAGTGTGAAATTCAAATATAGGGCGGGAACTGAATGAAATTGCGTAAACAAAGTAGTCTAGGTTCATTTTTTCTCAAATTCTCTTACCCACATATATTCTTTTAACTTTAGGTTATTTTAGGATATTTTTATTTTTTTTTGTTATTTTAGGTTATTTTTGGATAATATCTCGATTTATTGCCACCGATATGATTGCGGTAACCAACCGATAAAGTCGCTATTTATCGCGATCAATGCTACTTGGGATATAGCGCCTCGTGAAAAATACTTCTCTACTCTCGCCTTACTGGTATTTTGCTTTTTTAATTTCAGACGAAATAAGTCATCAGCTGGAAAATTCGGAGGCTCGGTGCATAGTTACGCTGCCCTCGGTGGTACCAACTTGCAAGAAAGCTTTAGCTCTTGTAAAGAAAGACGTCCCAATAATCACGGTTGGTTCACCACTTATATCATCAAGTTATTTTAAATTTATTTTTCTCTACTCATCTAAGAACTACATTATTTTCACCGTCATTTCCATGAACTTGCACATGATGATGCCGGTGAAACTGCAAAATCAAGTTCAAAATCAGTTCCTTCGATTATTAAATCTTCCATCGCATCTCTAAGGCGCAACAATACAACTATTCGTACTCTCCGGAACGCGGGAGGTATCACGCCATAATTGAAGGCGTTTTCGAAACTGCCAACTTTCCATATCGGGGCTTGTGTCGCATAAATAGGGTGTCTACTAAAAAGTGGCTGGCAAATATTAAGTACTTTTACAGTAATTTTTCAGCGTCCTCCCAAAAAATTCAGTGCCTTAAAACCAGAAAAATTCAGTACTTTTTTACTGTAATTTTATAGTACCTTTCCAAAAAAAAACTCAGTACCTCGTGAGCAGAAATATTCCGTGTTTTTTCGGTACCTTTCAGCTGATTGTTAATTTGAGGTCCTATTATAAAGTTATATTTTTTACCGCTTGTATATGTTTGATTCTTCTATAAAAATTATCCATTTGGTAAATACAATCCTAGCTTGCACACTTAAATTATGCGGTCAAAACTGTTAATGCGGCAAAGGGAAACCAACCGGGCCAGCGCGGAGGCTACTTCAATATTAATCTTCCATTGCATTGCTAAGGCGCAGCGATACAACTATTCGTACTCTCCGGAATGCGTAAGGTATCACGCCACAATGAAGGCGTTTTCGAAACTGCCAACTGTCCATATCGGGACTTGTGTCGCATTAATAGGGTGTCTACTAAAACTGGCTGGCAAATATTAAGTACTTTTACAGTAATTTTTCAGCGTCCTCCCAAAAAAAACAGTGCCTTAAAAGCTAGAAAAATTCAGTACTTTTTTGGTACTTTTAAGTGACGAAATGCCAAATTTTGAACTGATCACGGCATACCTACCTCGGTTGCGGTGTTTGGAAATCTCCACTTCTATTTTAATTTTTAAAAGGAGGCCGAACCAACATGATAGCTTGAAGTTTTCAAAGAATATTCTTCGAAAAGAGAAGAAAAATCACTGACATTTTGGGAAAATGATGTCCAGTGGTTTTCCATGCAAAAGTCCTATTGACCAGGAATATCGATGAAGAAAGTCGGGAAAATGAATTTCTGTAAATTCTACGTTCAAAAGCCTTCGATTATGTTGTATTTCTATGTCGTTCTTTATGTTGCATTATTTATGAGAAAACCAATCATGATATTTTCATTAATTTTACTGCGAATATTTTTGACCGTGCTAAGAAATAATTCACGTGTAGAGAAAAACCATGGGTTGGTTTTCCTTCATAAGCAATCAGACAAGGAGCGGAAATTTTTAACGTCACAATTCAAATTCAAATTCAAATTTAGTTTATCGCTAAACATTAGCCATGCCCAAGTAGCATGGATTGCAATTTCATTGCAATGGATTGTGAGTTGATTGCAATTTTTGCTTGCTGCCTATACGTTCATTTGAAGGCGCTTAAAAAGTTGCAATTTTATTGCAATAAGTTTGCAAGAAATGTAGATTATGCTTGTTGCCTAACCTTCTTTTTCAAGGCACTATAAAGACTGCAATTTCGGTGCAATCATGTTGTAACAAATTCACGCCATGTGCCTGGCATCCAATTCTCTAGTTGTTATAAAGTTTTTTCGACTAAAATGTCTCACCTAACCCATATAGCCCAACATATTTTGAAAATATTGTCACCTTTCTCAAAATATTTTCATGGCAATATTGTAATTAAGATATTTTCAAAATATTTTTAAAACATTTTAAAGGAATATTTTGAAAATGTTTACAAAAAATATTTTTAAAATATTTCAAAAATATTGCCTGTAAACATGCATGTTAAAAATATTCCTTAAGAAAGTTTTGAAAATATTTTAAAAATATTTTTTGAAAATATTTTTAAGTTCTCAAGTTAGTGTGTGGTGTAATTTACACCGGTGTAAATTTAGTGTGAGTACCTATTACGTGATATCGAAAAAAAAAATCAGACAAAAAAAATATGAAAAAAAATAAATAACACGAAAAAAAATAAATAATAGGCAAAAGAAAGAAGTCTGAGAAAAACGGCGTTAATCAAATCTATGATGAATGTTGAGCCACGCACTGACGCAATGCATGCGATAACAGCCTTAACAGGCGTGATTTCAACCCTGATCATCATCAGCTCCCTGTAGCTCAGTGGAAGAGTGCTCAGCTATGACGTTCGTGGGTCGGGTTCAAGCCCACTCACGGGCGTCCGGTATTTTATGCTGCTAAACGTCGTAGGACATTAGGTAAGCATGGGTTCGAATTATTATAATTTCCCCGGAAAATTTAGGGGTTGAAATTTAAAGGTCGTCAATATTGAAATTTCTTTGCAAAAAAAAAATTGCAACTTTTTTACAATGAGGGGGTCAGATGTTGTAAAATAATTGCAATTTTCTTGCAAGAAAGTTGAAATCATCTGGAAATTTTATTTCATTTAAATTGCAATTTTTTCGTTGCAAAATGCTACTTGGGTGGTAAGTAAGGCTAGGTACAGGTCGCAATGGGTACGAGTCTTAAGTTAAAATTTTTACCGCTTGTTCATGTTTGATTCTTCTAAAAAAAAATTATCCATTTACTAAACACAATCCTAGCTTGAGCAAACTTAAATTATGCGGTCAAAGCTGCGATTGCGGCAAAGGAAAACCAACATGGCCAGCGTGGAGGCTACTTCAATATAAATCTTCCACTGCATTCCTAAGGCGCAGCGATACAACTATTCGTACTCTCGGGAATGCGTGAGGTATCACGTCACGATTGAAGGCGTTTTCGAAACTGCCAAATTTCCATATCGGGACTAGTATCGCATTAATAGGGTGTCTACTAAAACTGGCGGCAAATATTAAGTACTTATACAGTAATTTTCAAGTGTCCTCCCAAAAAATTCAGTGCCTTATAAGCAGAAAAATTCAGTACTTTTTTGTTACCTTTAAGTGAAGAAATGCCAAATTTTGAACTGATCACGGCATTCCTATCTCGGAGAACTCTGAGGTATCACGCCACGATTGAAGGTGTTTTCGAAACTGCCATTACACTATACATCGAAACTATACATTAGCCATGGTAAGTTAAGCTAGGTACAAGTCACAATGGGTACGATGAAGATTAACAGATCAGTTTGTCTACAGACTAGTAAGGTTATCACAAATGTTCGTAAGTTTCAATTTTAATTTTTAATCAACAATCAAAGATCTATGCTCATTTCCAACTTTAACCACGACATATGTATGTTAAATTCCTGCCGAAGGTGTTATCCAATATTTGAAAGAAGCATTCCATGAGTTATCTTTTCCAACCATTAATTTCGAAAATTAATTTTGTAAATTAGGTAAGCTACGGGTCAGAGCGGGCCTCCGGGACTTGGGACTTCCAGGACATGATCTCCGGGAATGTGGACACATCCCTGATCCCTCGTGAGGCACGCAAGAGCGAGGACGTAGCTCTTCTACTATACTCAAGCGGCACAACGGGACTGAGTAAGGGCGTTGCTCTTACGCACAAAAACATCGTATCCAACATCGAGATGTGTCGCGTGCCCGGTCTTCCTCGATTCAGTACGCCCTCCGGTAAGTACTTACGAGGATCCTCAGCCCTCAGCTTATTTTTCAACTTCATTGATAATCCTCTAACTAATCGTCTCTGAATTTAGAGAGGTTTAATTGGACTGCGTTTAGCAGTAAAGAACCAACTTGCATCAGCTTTTGCCTTTAAGTGGGCAATTTAATTTTTTCTGTGCGGATTCCTTTGAAAATTTTGAGGAATTTGCTTGGTACTCTGCAGAGTGTTCACCAACATTTGCACAAAAATCCGCGCAACTATTTTCATGTGAAACATTAAAGTGCCCAATTAAGTTTGGCAATAGCTAATGCGACTCGGTTCCTTCCTGCTTAACACGATCCAATAGCAGTGTAAAAAGAGACATTTTTTTACAGACCTCCCAAAGTCGAGCTGTTGTATTTTACTCAGAGCTTAAACGGAAAATGCTTATTTTAAAGTCACAAGTAGAACTTGGAACATTTCAATTTTGAATTCTTGATGATAAAGCATCATTGCGATTTCTCTCAATAATGGATTCGCATTTTTAGCATTGACACTGAAAATATGTCGATGCACTCAATCAGTACCTTGCAAGGCGAGGCAGCAGGGCTTTCGGTTGAAAAAAAAAATCACTCTGCGCTCAAAAGAAATGCAAATCTTGCTTGCATTAAATGTATTAGTCCATTTCAAAAGAAATTTCCTTTCATGTGATGTTGGTTTGTGGCTGATCTTTCACCTTTTTCCTTGGCATACGATGACCCTCTTTTAGCAGGCAAGCCTCGATTTGGCAAGGAATGTCAAAATGTATTGAAAACGTAACTTGTGATGTTGAGGTGGTTTTAAATCTCCACGGCAACGTGAAAGTGGGCATTTAACGAGATATAGAATGAGTCTTTAAATGACAACATCCACAAAGCCATGAATTAAAATTCCATCAAAAAATGAAACTCGTTAAAAAATATTTCAAGGCAATGGTAAGTTTATTGTTTTGACAAGCAGACCAACAAGTTTACCCCCGAAAATGTTGACACATGCGGTTAGGATTTACCCATCATGTATTGATGATGTTTTAGCTGAATATCAAGATGTCCTCATGGCTGTGGTACCTTTTTTCCACAGCACTGGGTTGACCTGCAGTTTGCTCAACGGGATAGCCAACTACGGTAAATTTGTCTCATTCTCCAAGTTTGATCCAGTCTCGTATTTAAAAGGCCTCAAGAACCAAAAACCAAGGGTAAGTCCACGTCTCCAAATAAAAATCAGAGTTATGGGCATTTGGATATTCGAGTGCATCTATGGCAGTTCGGATCCCGCTACAGAAAGAAACGCTACTTTTACTATGTTGACTCGCAATCATTTCGACCTTATCTTTTCAATTTTTCATTTGACCACACGCTTCTCAAAAATCTTTAAGTTCTTGCCATAATGGAGTGAAGACGGTTGGATGAAGTATGACTCATACACTGAAAAAAAAATATCGGTGTATTTACTAAGAAAAGGGTAAAATTACCAAGAATTCAGGATTCTATTTGATCCCAGTTTTTTCTTGGTAAAATCATCATTTATGGAATTGGTAATTTGACCGAGAAATCTCGGTAAAATTATTGACTTTCTCGGTAATTTTACTGGCGACCCCGGTAAAAACGCCAATATTTTTTATCGACTATGGTAGAATTACCACGATAAAATGGCAAAGTTACCGGGAATTGATTACCAATAAAAGTGGTATTCTTACCTGAAAAAAAACAGTAAAAATACCGGTTTTTAGGTAAGCTTACCATGTCTTGGTAAAATTACCAATAATTAGTAAAAAAATTGAGATGGTAAAGGTACCAACGGACCCTGGTAAAAATGCCGAGAATTTTTTTTCAGTGTATTTTTTGGGGGAAAATTGATGTTTTCCGCTCATCTCAAGGAAGACTGATATTATATTTGACATTTTGTCGTTCACCTCACGAAAGAATTTAACTCCATTTCAATGTTGTCAAAGTTCCTCTCGCAAATTGGACATTAACCGGAAAAATCTTGGGGATTTCTAACTGGAAATTTCACTGATTTTTCCTCAGACTTCATTCAAAAATCAGAAAATTCTGGATACAAATTCCACAAGAACATTCTTGTGAAATAAATTAATTGATTGAGTCAATTGGGCAACCATGGAATGGAGTTACGTTCTGTCGTGCGGAAGATGACGATTTCTATCACCTCAATCTGGGATATTTCGTAACTGGTGTATTGTTGTTATGAATCGAAGGTTTAGAACCACCAAGACTATGGGCAGACTAATGGTGAAAAACAGATCCGTATGGAAAATTTTCTTCTACTTCATTCATTTCAATGACTTTTTACGTTTATTATTGTATTTTATATGTTTTTCAGTCAGTTACGTGTGTTTGCGCTCCACCCTTAACTTTATTCTTGGGAGCTCACCCCGCAGTAACGCCGGAGCATCTGGAATCCGTCAGGTACATTTTCAACGGAGCAGGGCCGGTTGGTCAGACCGATATTGAAAAATTGATCGCGAAAAGACCAAAGAAGGATGGTTTTAAATTCTTTAATGGTAAATTTACAATATTAAAGATCAAGAAAAAATTATAACTTCCATAAAGAAAAATTCTCTACTTAGAAACATAATGAGACCAACGAAAATTAAATTAAAAATTACCTACCTATTAAGAAAAAATGTCGGGTAAATGGTTGTATGTATTGTGGAGTCAACCATTACTTAACCATCTGGATGATTTGGTTAACTAGGGTATCTCTATCGATTTATGGACTTATGACGGAATGAGGGGAAAAATATGACGATGGCTGAAGTGCGACACCACGTGCCTCCATTGCGGTGTTTCAAAATCTACACTCCTATAATTTATTTATTCGAAGAGGAACTAGTCAACTTTGTAGCTGGAAATTTACACCGAATATTCTACTAACAGAGAAAAAAATCAAGGAAATTTATAAGAAATTATGATGACTTGTTTTCCAAGGAAAAAATAAAGTAAGTATGACTGGAAGTCTACAACGTCGCAAACGGAAATAAGTGATCTCGAACCTAAGGCATCGAATGGCAGGACATCAATCTTTTCGAAATCCCGTTGAAAATTTTCTTTCGCAAGAAATGTTCTCCAAAATGTTGTACCTATCTGATGTAATTAACTGACGGTGAATTTTTTATGGGCTCACAGCTTATGGGTTGACTGAAACCTCACCGGTCGTCTTTCTACCCAAAGAGACAACCGCCTCTCTGGTGACAGTTGGATCGCCTGTGTCTGGTTCTCAGGTCCGGGTGGTTGACGAAACGGGGAAGAATCTTGGACCCAATGAAAAAGGAGAACTGTACGTCAAGGGCCCACATGTAAGAGGATTACATTTTTTCTCAAAATTTTGTGATAAAAAAAGAAGAAAGAGTATTTATTCAAGACATTTCCGGAGCAATTAGGTCATGGTTCGGAAGGAAAGTCCAACCGGTGTTATCTCAAAGAATCGAAGACGCTTCTAGTTGGCACAATCTAGTTATTCAAATTTCGAAAAGATGTGATCTAAATCTCTATTCTCCTACAATATAAACAAATGAAAATAGACTATTCAATCCATCCACCCCTTTGTATTGCCGCTTTAATGATAAAACAAGAAGAAACAGTATTTATTCAAAACATTTCCGGAGCATTAATGCCATGCACAGTGGGCCAGGGAGGCCCGTTTTACGCGAAAAATACCGTTTTTATGAGTGTCCAGTATTGTATTGATGATGAGGAATTCGTTAAAGTGACTCTCTAAGGGATGAGAATTCATCAAAATTTCATCGAATAATCGCCCAGCAGCGATGTATTGGAGGGGGGAACTTGGGTACCTCTCACACTGCACGGATAATATATAGTAGCGCGTCCTGAACTGCAACCTTGTAAGGCCTTATCACGGTTCAGCGGTTTCGCGGGGTAAAAATTTGTTCACTAGGACTTATTCTCCTAAGAAAGAGCTTTCATTTGATGTATACACTTTTTCCATTGCGCACTTTTCACTGTCCAAAAAGCTTGTTAGAAAATGTGCCTAATAAATCTTAAAAATTCCATCGAAAAAGCTTTCTGCAGTTTTTTCCTTAAGTTTCCTTAGAGTTTTAGGGCCAGATACTTATTCTTTAAATCCTCAACATTCATTTGCACTACAGCTTTGCTGCGGGAAACTGCGGGAAACCCATTTTTTTAATTTTTTTAATAAAAAAGTCGACTCATCAAAAATAGGTTTAAGTTCATGTTTCACATATATGACCTTAGATATCGTACAATAAATAAATTCTTCCGAGTGAATAGTAATAATATTATTAAATTGAGCTGCTACGCTACTGAGGGTGCGCAATTTTTCCATGGTTGCCACATTTTCTCGTATTTAATAACTACAAAAAAGGTTCTCAGATGAGACGATACTATAAATCTGTCTGTCATTCTGTCTCTCATATTTTTCTTCTTTTCCGTAAGTGAAATTATTAATAGTACCATACGGGTACTATATGTGACCCAGCAGGACAAAATGCGCCTTTAAAGGAAAGCTGATATTGTTTAGTACATCAGAAAACAGTTTGAGGGTAAAAAAAAACCCCACACTACTTCAGTTTTCAATGATGATAATTCCTAATGTAATATTCTGAAGGGCATTTGGGTCAATCTCTGGAGCCATAATTTGCGTTATTTATAATGTAAGCTTTTAAGGTGGATCGTTCCTCAAGATAAGCAACTGTGCAGACAAACTTTAACTGCTATTTACTTGGGAAACTTTTGTTTCTCCCTCGGACTTTTAAATGCTGCAAAGTGGTCAAATTCAGGAATTTTTCAGTTATGACTTTGTGCCAACTAATGCAGAACTAACCCCTCTAACCCATGGTACTGTCCACCTAAAGGCTAATTTTGTCCTGTTGCTTCACTTATGTCGTTTGGTTTCCTGAATGTAATTGTGTCCTTTCACATACCAGACCATCACAGCAACTCACCTACGGTTTTCGTGCTTCTCAAAATATGTATTGACGATTTCAATCGCACTAAAAGCTGCTATTGTTGACTAGCTCAATCGACGGCAAATCCGTGGATATTTGAATTTAGATCTGATTTGATACAAAACTTTTTTTTCTCTTTCTTTTTTTATTTTTATTTAAATTTCTGAATTTTGAGCTTTGTTAGCCGATAATTGGTACACATTTGGGCGGAACTTATTGAAGTCCAAGAATGTTGCACCAAATGCAAGAGTGGTAAATAGATACTGTTCAGCTGACCGTCATTTCCAATAAACGTTGTAAGTAAATGTTGTCCATTCTCATAGCAAGCGCCGCTAAACAAAAATTCATAGAATGCTTTTTTGATCCTCTGACATGATACTTGATAGCTTACAACAGCAAAACGTAGAAACATGAAACCATGGAGGGCATTACTTTGCAAAATTATTTTCACTTAAACATGGTAACCCACAAGAACCAATAATACGAGGAGACAGTGACCAAAAAGAAAAAAAAATTAACATGTAAAGCGTTCCTAGGTGAACATTCTCGTCTTTTATACTTCTAATTTTAACAATATTAGATCGTTTTCCAGACTCTTCTTGGTCACATCCAAGTTCTCAATTATGTTTCTGAAAGTTTCTCCAGCGTTAAAATGGTTCCTAATCTCAGTGAGATTGCTCATAAAAAGGAATCATCACTGGACTAGCGTATATCCTCATAACATACTTTTCCTGTGATTTTTGAAAAAATCTGATATCAAATTCGAGTTCAGCGACCCAAAAAACCCCCTTAAACCAAAACTTAGTGATTTTCGTTCGGATTTAGCCGAGATATCAATTATTCTCGCGCAACCGGCACCTCTGGCCCACAGTGCATGGCTCGGTAGGAAAGTCCAACCGGTGGTATCACGAATGATTGAAGGCGCTTTTAGATGGCACAAATGGACATTCAAAAATCAAATCTCGAAAAGATGCGCTCTAAACCTCCATCCTCCAAGAATACGTAGTAATAATGAAAATATGTTATTCGAGCCATCCACACCTTCATACTGCCGCTTTCATGAAGATTCTTAATGAAAATTGACCATTAGTTGACGAATCGTTAATTTAATTGGCTGTATGGTTCTCAATTTCATATTCAATGTATTGCTGTGAAATACTTACGTATATGAAGCGCTTTACAATCGGGCAATAAATCCTTATATGTTTAATGAGAATTTTTCACCATCAAGTGGAAACTATCTCATAGTCTAGTTTGGGCAAAAATAATTATCTGCCATAGATTCTCTATTTAAACTGCACTTTGCAATTTGGAACTACAATTTACGGCTCAGTTTAAAAAAAAAAAAAAACTATGTACCATTAGTTTCCTCATAAACATATGTGTTTTCACGAATGAACCAGAAATGTTGTTCTTAATTGCAAAATGTAGTCCATTCAGATAAACTTCTTTCCTGTCTCCGAATATCGAATTGATTTTGACTTTTTGAGGATTTCAAATCTTTTTATTGGATTTTATCGCTGTTAGATTCCCTCTCCTGGATACTTTGCTACAAGGAATTTCTAATTTTAGTGTCCAATTTTCCCTGATGTTCGAATATTTTATTATTTTGATTTGACCAGGTGATGAAAGGCTACCACAAAAACGAGGCTGCAACCAAGGAGGCGTTCGCCGAAGATGGTTGGTTTCGGACGGGAGACATGGTTTACTACGACGAAAACTGTGAATTCTACATTGTTGAGCGGCTCAAGGAGCTCATCAAAGTCAAAGGTTTTCAGGTAAATATTTCGTGCCTTCCTTGCAAGATTTTTTGGTCGCTCTCAAGAACAAGAATTATGTTTCAATGTTTCTTGAGTGACGTTTTCGGTTTGTTCGAATAACAAAGCTACGGCATGAAGAAATCTACGTTTTAACTCAGAGACAATGAACAAGAATTATGTTATACTTTTGAAATATTATTTATGGAGACGGTGAAAATTTAAGAGAACCTTTGAAATAATTAAGAACAGTTAACAGCGATTTATCTGTGAGCATTTAAGTAGACCGAATGACCGAATGTTTGGTGATATTCACGTGAAAATTAGCCTTATTAGCAGCTATGTAATTTGCTTTAATTTTGTATAAATTAATACAAAAACTAAGTTTAAATGCAACATAAAATATATGGTGTTACAAATTTTCATTTCTTAAAAGTCCTCCTACAAATTTGTTGTTTCGATGTTGTTTTCAATTCGCCTTCAGCTGCGTCCGCGACAATTGTTGTTACGAATATGTTGTGCGTGCTGATCTCAGCGCATTACATACTTGACTCTTCGAAGGCGTTTAATGTGAGAAAGTAGAGCACCCTGTTGGAGAACAACAAAAGTGAGATTGAACGAATCGATTAATCCCTACTTCGTTCGTTCTCCGACAGATTGCGCTACTTGTGCAAAAAAACGCCTTCAGAGAGTCGAGTATGTAATGAACTAGAATCAGCACGCACAACATATTCGTAACAACAATTGCTTCAGACGCAGCAGAAGGCGAATTGCTCAGCTAAAAAAAAAAGTATGATAGAAAGTCTGCATATAACGAAAGGGTATGTATTCGATCGGAAAATATGATGGCGATGAGAGAGATCACTTAATACTCCGGGGACGAAAGGCAGCTCTGTGCCCATCTCTTGTGTCTTATATTTGATGGCAAAAATTCATTTTAACTTTCTCATGGAATTTTTCAGGTGCCTCCGGCGGAATTGGAGTCCTTGCTAAGGAGTCACCCAGACGTCTCGGAGGCGGCCGTTGTAGGAGCACCGGATGAGAGAGCCGGGGAGAGGCCGGTTGCATTCATCGTCCCGAAACCGGGGTGCAAGCCCGACCACGAAGACGTCAAGGAATTCGTGAGCAAGCACGTAGCAGAGTACAAGTGGATCAAAGAGATAAAGCAAGTCGAGGCCATCCCTAAGAACCTGTCAGGGAAAATCTTGAGGAGGCAGTTGAAAGAGGAGTATTTGGGCAAGAGCTCATGACGCCAACCTGCAATTCAGTAATTCCGAGAGCCAGGGTAACATCAAATGCGAAAGCAGAGGTCGAGTCTCCATCAACATCCAGGAAATACTCAATCCCAAGTCGCGGTGATCGCGATAAGTTGTTGTTTGTTCGAAAATTGTATCGCGATTTTATCGACATTTCACACATACCTACATTCGATCCATTTTTCGTTCATGACAGGTGAACATTCCTTCTGTTGCGAGACGTTGCAATTTTTTAATTTTTTCAAAGAATGCTTTTGGAGCGGGGAGCATACCTCAGACCCCATTTAGACGTATTTCTGCCAAACCGGATTATGTGCATTATGACGTGAGCCCTGTTATGCATATATTCTTATGGGTCTCAGGGCTCATGTCTTAATGCACATGGTTGAATCAGTGAGAACGAAAACACACCAACTCGGTAACTCGAAAATGCTCAATTTTCATTGAAGACAATCAATTTTAATAAAAGTCATTGGAGCTAGGGCATCTGTTCAAACTCGGACCTTTATAGTGTCCTTAAGTACTTGTCTTTCGACACCAAGCATCTTTTTCTTAGACTAACTTCTACACTTAATGTGCAGATTTGTGTGTGTCTTGATTATTTTCATTTTTTCGAGTTGGTGTGTTTTCGCTCTTACTGATTCAGTTCTGTTTGACAGAAACACATCCATTTGACAAGGTGCCTCTCTATGCTCCCCACAAAAAATGCCTGGTTTTTCCATGGTTATTGTTGAAGTTTAGTCGGGAACAGTAAAGACAACTCTTAAAGAAGGAGAAACATGAATGGTAACATGTGTGTGCAATAGTGTGTATTTGTAAAATCAAAATAATTACTATCAAGTAGGTTCATTATTAATGCAAATAGGGATGCACACGCGTATGCAGGGGGATGAGGAGCATGGTATGAACTGTTGGAATATGAGGAAAAAGGAGACAAATTACGATCTGCTTACGAACTGGTTTATTCGTCGCCCATCGCTGGGGCGGTTATCAACGCAACTGACAAAAACGATATTGAGGATTGAAGATTCACAAACAGGAAAAGTTACATAATCATTGAGGTCGATGCACGATATAGATTTAGATAAGTCAACATGAACAGCGGATGATTGATATTGGAAGCACGGAAAACGCACCTAAGACTCCATTAATTATTCATGCGGCTTTATCGACACCGGTTGAAACATGTTTAGAAATGTCGCAACACTGTCAGATGCTGTTATTATAAATACATCCTTGATGCTTTTGAGAATTAAGATGCAAAAATTTCTCAAATATTTTAATTACGGTATCAATATTTGACAGCGTGTTGAATGTTAATTTTTTGTATTTTTCAATGTTCTGTTTTTTATTCAGGGTTTAATAAAATAATTTTATATCGTTAAAATTGATTCGTCTTGCCTTAAAAGAAACCAATTTTCCGATACCACCTACCAGTTCCATTAAAAAAATAAGAAAGCTTATCAAATCCCTTGCGTGCTATTTTCAGTTCTCAAGCGATAGAAATGTAGCCCGCAAATCGCTAAACACTTAGATGCGTAGATGATACCTACATTGATACCAGAGATACTTTAAAAGATTAATCGCTGAAAGCAACGACAAAATGTAGACATAAGGAGAGATAAATAGTATTTACAGCATCGATGCACTTGAAAGGATAGAAGGTGGGGCCTGGGCACACGATAAATGCACATAGGTTTCCTTGAATGTCAATTCAGCAGACATGAGCACCTAAGTTGTCAAACTGGTCTAAATCAAACAAATTTCAGCTGATGCATTGTTTGCGGCAGGGTTTCTGTTGCTGTGCAGGGCTGCTAAATTTGCTTGGATTACTCTCATTATCTCCAGGACATTACGAGCACTATCAATGGAAATGTTGCATGTGTGAGAGATTTGCGATTTGACTGGTATTTCTTATGTAAAAGTTCGCGAGAAACACGATGGTCCCTCTGGTTTTCTCTGAAATCATCTCCCAAGCTCAAAAAAAGCTCTCAAAGTGAGGCCAAAATGGAGGGGATATCCCGCCCTACCCTGAGAGTCCACCTCTACATCAAAACAAACTCTCCATGCAAAGATAGGGAGCAAATACATTAGTGGGGTTGCCGTGTTTTCAGTTGTAAAGTCCCCAAATAAAGTGGCAGCCTTGTCAATGTATTTGCTCCCTATCTTTGCATGGAGAGTTTGTTTTGATGTAGAGGTGGACTCTCAGGGTAGGGCGGGATATCCCCTCCATTTTGGCCTCACTTTGAGAGCTTTTTTTGAGCTTGGGAGATGATTTCAGAGAAAAGCAGTGGCACCATCGTATTTCTCGCGAACTTTTACATAAGAAATACCAGTCAAATCGCAAATCCTTCACACATGAAACATCTCCATTATTCGTAACAAATGTAAGTAGAGCTATGCGATCTTACCAGCATCATGTGATGTTGGCAGCTCAACTCTCAGCGGAAGGGCTTCTTTTTTAAATTGTCGGAAGATACGAATTAAGAAACTTCTAAAAACAGGACTTTAAACTCAAATTGAAAATTTTATCGGAGAGACTTCTTTCAAAGTAAGATTTTACTTTAACCACGTCGAAATAAAATCACCCGGTTCACGGAAGATGGAGCAACTTTTCAGGAGGCTCTTACCGGAGGTCAACTTTTCTGGTACCCAGGGCCGGATTTACCGATAGGCTACATAGGCTATAGCCTAGGGCGCAACATTCTGAGGGGCGCAACATTCTGAGGGGCGCAACATTATTGAGAATTTATTAAAAAAAGTGACTTATCAAGACGTAAACGTCCCTCAAAACTGTTTAAAATCGTGTTTTTTTAAAGGTGAATTTGAACATTTTCCTGACGCCTAACATCCTCCTTCTGATCTGGAGGGGAGGGGCGTCTGGAACCCCCCCCCCTCCACGAGAGCGCCTGCTTTTAGGGGCGCCACCCTAAGTTTAGCCTAAGGCGCTAAAAATGTAAATCCGGCCCTGCTGGTACCAAAAATTGTCCCACCACAGTTGTCATTTTAGTGTGTGAATCAGTGCTCTCAGACTTACTTCAATGTACTGTGTAAGTATAAAAAATCCGAAATACGGCATCTCGAGTTTCGCTATGGAAAGAGGATACGTTTGATAAGAGGTGGTTGAACCTGGTCCAAATCCACCCGAAAGTATACTTCGTTCTGAGGCTCGACTCTTATCAACTACTGATATGAATTAATGGCTTGGTAGAATTTTTCTGGTACTTTAAATACCTTTTAGCTTTCAAACAGAGTATACAACTTTAGTTCCAAAATGTCCCACCAGGGTCGAAATGTATTTCGCACTGCCTTTTCAGTCTCAAGAGGCAAGAGTCGCCCGTGAATCAACATAGTGCCATGTCTCACTAACCAACATGGTCATTTATGGCAGGGTATGCCATAAAATTCCTAACCGCAATCAGGGATCTTTCCGGGAAAAGGACCCATAAAACGAAAAAACGCGTTTGGGAAAAATGCTTTTGAAATTTCCATTATTAATTTCTAACTGCTGACGGTGACTTACATTGGAAATTGGACTCAAAGCTCCTTTGTAAGTTACCGTCAGGGGCCAGAAAGTAATTTTGGAAACTCTAAATTATTTATTCTTATGCAAGCGTGATTATTCGCCAGGGGCCCTTTTTCCGGAAAGCTCCCCAATCAAAGTTTGACTCAGATTTGACGAAGGGTATAGATTCGATCGACATGAATCAATCGGAAAATAAAACTTTAACCGATCGACACGACACTGATTCGATTGAGATCGAACGATTCATGGCTTTGTCGATCGGTTCACGGCTTTGTCGATCGATCCACGGATTTGTCGATAGACTCGCGGGTTCGTCTATCGATCCACGGATTTGTCGATCGATTCACGGGTTTGCCTAAAGCTTCTCAGCATTTTCGATCGACTCGCACAGATTTGTCGATCGATTCTCGGGTTTGTCCATCGATCCACGGATTTGTCGATCGACTCGCGGGTTTGTCTATCGTACCACGGATTTGTCGATCGATTTACGGATTTGTCGATCGATTCGCGGGTTTGTCTATCTAACCACGGATTCGTTGATTGATTCTCAGGTTTGTCTATAGATTCTCAGCATTTTCGATCGACTCACAGATTTGTCGATCGATTCACGGGTTTGCTATCGATTCACGATTGGCGATTAAATCACGTCGATCGGCCCACGTAATAATTTCTCGATCGATTCATGTCGATCGAGTAGACATAGGTTTTTTTATCATTTGTCTATATCGAATCGGTGTCGATTCATGTCGATTGAAGCCATACTCTCTAAATTGGACGAAAGATGGTAGAACCGGACCCGAATCAGGAAAAAGAACAACCGGACGAGTGTTCGGAACGGCAACAACGGCGGGAAGTGAGAGATCGACGCACAGTGGAACGAGTCTTTGAGAGAAGTCGGACGTGAAATTTTTCACAAAAATCGTAAAATTTAACGTTTATCTCGTCGCAATTTTAATTTTTAGGTGTGCAATCTGTAGACAATTTTACGAGAAAACCAATGAAACTACTTTTAAAACATCAAAATTTTATATTCGTTACGTTGATGCACGCTTTTAAAGTTTTTAAATCATGTCCCAACCCTCCAATTGACTCGATCCATTGTGCGACGACCAAGTTGCCAGAGCTGACGCCGCCGGCGGCCTCCGATTCGCTGGCACCAGAGGTCGCACAGTGGATCGAGTCAATTAGAGAGGTTGGACATGCAATTTTTGGCTAAAACTGCAAATTTTGATGTTTAATTCGTCACATTTTGAATTTTGACGGGTGCCTTACGATGAGACTTTCACGAGGAAACCAATGGAACCACTGTTGAAACCTGGAATTTTTGTATGAACCTAGTTATGAGCTTTTACAGCTTCCAAATGTCCGAGCTTCCCCATTGAATGGATCCATTGTGTGTGGCGGCATATCGACGGTGAAACTACCAAACCACGTATCTCGTTTGCGGTGTTTAAAAATCTGCGCT